TACTGTGTAGATACCTAGTACAAAGCTTCTAACATCAACATCCCAACAGTCTGTGAGGTTCCTGTCAACCTTTCAAGTAAATCAGGAAAAAAATCTCACGTTTAATAAACGCTTTTATTTAACCACTACAACTAACAATCCAAATTAACCTAGACTAGTTGTCTTTCTTCAGTCCAAACTGTGCGTGAAGAATGGGAACATAATCGTCATATTCAGCTTGGTAAACATTCAGAGCCTTCGGATCGCCCAGTGTGTACTTCTCAGCAAACTTGCGGATGGAGAACTTCCTTCTGAACATAACCGTGGTTTTGTTGACTCTCGGCTCCTCGAAGGTGATCTTCTCAGGCTGCTGGTATACAAGGAAGACGTATCTGTGGAATCCCGAGTCTTTGGGAGGACCAGAACCGATGTATTCGGCAATGACATCTCCTGAGGATAAGTCGGTTCCCTGGATGTTACCGACCAGCCAGTGCAGGAACTCTCGTGCTTCAGGGTTAATCACGCTGGGCGCGTCAGGGTCGACCATGGCCAGGAGGTAGAACCCCTGAGGGTCAGCCCAGGAAGTGTAGTTGACCGAGGGTTGACCCTTGACCTGGGTCGGGGTCAGCTTGTTGCCCATGTTGACGGTGACGTTGTCTCCATAGGAGATCTCCAATTGGTTCATCTGGTTGGCAAGATCAAACTTGTCTAAGACATCAGGTATGATTTCCAGGGGTGGGACAGGTGTGGCGCAACATGCAGGAAATCCTTTAGTCGGGTCTACTGGTGTAGTGGCCCAACCTTGAGGTAGCCCTATGATCCCACACCTAAAACAAAAAATGAGGGTTTTCAACAATGATGTAGTGGTAAACCTTTTTCAAAGCATGAGCGCTCATCATCGTCTTGGGGGAAAAACTGACAAACTAACATAGAGCATTTTTGGAAAGAGCAGAGTGGGAACGCTGTTCCCAAACATTCCCACCACACTATACCACTGGTTTTGAATAACGTTCAATCTAGTGTGTGGGAATGGAACGTTTAATGATATTGCTTGTGAAAAAGTCCTTGGAGGAAAACCGGAACAATAATAATCAAGTACTAGCAGCAAAACCCGGCTTTGCCCGGGTAAAATTATATGTACAATAAGTGGTAATAGAATTATTTTTTTTCTGTTTTCATAGATGTACACATATCTTGGTATTATTAAATCTAGTAATCTGTTCAATGTTCTTGCACACGTTTCCTTAAATTACAACTAAAATAAATAAATAAAATTAAAAAACTGGGGCAGAGCCCAAGGGACTTTTTCAAAAATGTAAGGTCAGTTTGCAAATCTACACACCTAGACGAATATTTTGGTATATAATATGTGGGGTTCAATCTTAAAACAAAAAAGCCTTATTGTTCATAAGTTTCATGTAGCGTATTAATAATATAGATTATTGATTTAGTTACTGTGTAAGTACTTCTACTTTTGACCATTGAGACAAAAATGAATTGGGGTTCTCAAAATAGTAAAGTAAATGTCTCATTGCCAATGACTCATTTAAGTTATAGGTCTGAATACTGAACAGAACTATAAATACAACTCACAAAACGATTCTTGCAAGAGGTGTAGGTAAGTACAAATGAAATATACTTGTACTATTGCCCGTTCATCCTGTAAGCGACAAAAATAATCTGTCCTCCAAACAATCAGCCATCCAAGTCGTCCAAAATTTATTTTAGACAAGCCTATACTTCAGACAGGTGAAATCCTTATAAATCCCTCACTATACTGGAACAAGATAGGTTCAAACCTTAGACAATGATTTTCATTAACCATGGAAACCAACCCCAGATACTGCACCATACTACTGCTGGTAAACCGAACTGATATAGATCTAAAACTTGTCTTCAAGGAGGAAGATGTTGCAGCATCGGTCAGGAAAAACAATATCTGTTAAGTTGTAATTGTATGAATACTCAATACTTGCAAGTGAATGTATTCATGAGATATTCGTGAGCATATCTGACTTTGCGGCTTAAATGTCAATGCTTAATGGTTATTTATGTCATGCTTACGCTCCAACCGCGAAAGTCCCGTCTTCTTTGCAGATGTTTGCATAACACGCTCCTGGTTTATCATATTGCTCGTTGACTTTCAGTTCCTTCCCATCGTCTGTCTTGCAAGCGGTCTTCTCATCTGAAAACAGTTAACTCTTGAGGGTGAACGTTTTAAAGGATGTATAGGGTGTGGCAAAACAGACTGAGCAGTTTGGCCCAGGTGTAATCCGAATGTGAATGAGAAAGGCCTTTATTCTCTATTGGCCCTTTTGTCATCAGCCACTCACACCGAATCAGTCACCATCATAGTTTGGTTCGAACACCATTGAGATTATGCTGTATGTGTGTAATCTAAAACAACAAGTGATTGTAGCGCAAAGAGCTATTTGCTGGTAGGTTTTGACTTTGGTCAACGAGGCTATTGCTATTTATAGCTCCTAGGGCGTTTAGTTGGTCAGAGCAGCTTATAGTAGTTTCCTAGCAGAGTAGTTTCCTAGCAGAGTATTTTCCTAGCAGAGTAGTTTCCTAGGTGTTTACACAGTCTCTGCATTTTTCATCATCTAATTCTTTTTATTCTCAGCCAACCAAACATTTTTAAGGATGAAAACGCAATCATGATTTTAGGATTCTTCTCAAACTCAACGAGAAATTCATAACGCAATCAAATGCCTTCTATCGGAACGTCTACATGGTTCAAACTATTCAATCTGTTTTGCCACACCCTGTATAATCAAGAATGATATAAAGCTTGAATCAAAGTTGAAAGACTGTGCATTATAGCAACATCTATTGATAATTTTGTATCAAGAAAACCAGTCAAAATCACATTGAGCTCAAAACTCTCACGTGGTAGGATGTCACAGGAATATTCCTGAGAAAATACTGTGTTTTCCCTGAGTAAAAAAAAACTGAGTATTAACTGAGAAAACAGGATATTCCCTAATTATAAAATGAGTATTCCCTGACTAAATACTGAGTACTTCCATGATTAAATGCATTTAGTAATTCTCTGATCAAAAATTTAACGTGGGCCCTAAATTCTTCCCGTATAAAATGGAAATTCAAACATTACTCAAATTTTTAGAGTGTAAAATATTTTGTGTTTATATGTTTAACTATTAATTGATTATAGTTAGAATATTTCTATGTAAGAGGAAAATCTGGGGGAAAACCAGAGTGACCCTTTGGCTTCTGAAAATTCTAGAGATAAAGTTAATCATCACAATAATATTGTTACTCTTCTACCATAGAATTAAAGTAAACAAAATATGTATTTAGAAATGAATAAAGATCGTTTGATTTGATTTGAAGTACAATACAGTACTGTAATCTGTTTGTCAGTTAATCATAAACATTATTACATGAACAACAATAGTTTTAATAATCATTTGAAAGCATTTTACGTTTTTAGTAGTATGCATCATAGAACCAGTTTCCTATATCCTGTAACTTGAAACTTATAATCTGGATTAGAGAGTGTGATAGAAAGTTTCCAATATGTTTTTACCCAGACTAACTTTGAACTTCAATACCTACCTTGTACCTCTGCAAAGATAGATGCCACACACAGTACCACTATAAAATACCTTGTAAACATCTCTCACTACAGTCCTGTTCAGTGTTATGAGTTTCAGTTCAAGCTTTCCTATGTGTAGGCTGTGTTATAACAAGGTCAATATGCTTAAAACCGGTTCTGCAGGCTTGCACTGACTGTACACTGATCCCAGCTGTTGAAAGATTAGGGAAAACCAATTGTAATTTACATCTTCCAAACAAGTTTCCATCTGAATTGATTTACTTTAAATATTCAAGAGTGTCACATGTTTTCCGTCTTTTCCTCCTAAGTAGGGTACTTTGCTTCTTCTCCCCTGTTGCTGCAAACGTGCAGACTATATAAATTTATATTTTCCTGATTGGACTTTTATGGACGTTTTCTTAAACATGTCATATCTAGATCCATTCTCTATTTAAATAACATTATGTTAAACAAGTACTTTACCTTCAATATAAAAATACTTTTTCAAGTAGGTATAATTTTAGTTTCTTCTTCTGTACATACTGTTTTCATAACAATTTTCAAGCTTGATTTTTAGGAGGAAATATATCTGTTTTGGGTACATAAAACCCTTTTAAATTTGACATCCGGATGGACTGAGGAAATTTTAAGTTATGTTTCGTTTGGTAGAGTGTATCTTGATTTTTCCTTTTTTATTTATTTCCTTTACAATTATATGCAATTGCATTATGTCTAACAAACTAAGACACACACTTTCAGCTTTAGAATAGTCTAATTACACAGTTTCATAAATATTTGTTAGCTATATTATTAAATAATCAGTTTGGAAATAAATTAATAAACACCAATTAACAGTACAACCACACATCACCTAATACAGAGATACCTCTATTGAATGCTTATATAGTCCCCCCTCTTAAAAATAATAATATTCCAGGGTCGCTTGTAAAACAATTCTCTTGGGTTTGTACTTATAAATTACAAAGCTTTGACAAGATCAAATACCAAAGCAAATGATAACTTGTAAAAAAAGCTGCACAGAAAAGTTGAAATCAAACAACTTTGTGGGAGCCCCACTGCCCTGGATTAATCTGGTCAAAAACAACCAGACATAACACTTGGCACTAAGGAATACTTGAACTTTTAATTGATAATTATTGAAATAGCTTGAATCCACCAACGAAACACTTAATCAAAAACAACTAGAGGTCAAGGTTAGTGACCTGGTCAGTTATCTTGATAGGGAAAATAGTGATGCTTGGGAAAACCATTCTATTTTACCAAGTAAATTTCCTGGTTTGGTTTGGCTAGAAGTTTTACTTGGATATCAGCTATCAATTCTTATAATTGATCTAAACTTGAAGAGAAATTATCTTCAACAGTCCATTAAGCTTGATATGTTTTATATGATTGGTTTGCATTTTATATTAACTGTTTATTTCCTGCCCCCACCACAAGTGGTGCCAACGTTTAGGTCAGTCACAGAGTTGCCAACCGAACCAGTTTATATCTTCTCAGTTGGACATCCCGGTCAGTTAGCCTCTGGACATTATTAGTGAAAGACTCAACAATGTATTTAGATAAGTGTATTGTGTTAGTTATTTGTGCTGTTATAGTGAGTGGAAGAGGTGAGTGGTGAAGATTTTGTTATTATTTGTTGTAATATTACGATTAGTTGGTCAAATCAATAAAATCGTGAGTCGATCAATAAAAATTTTAATGGTTTTAAAATAAATAAATAGGTTTTTAAGTGATTTTTTGTAATAAATTATGTAATGTTTGAGAACTTATTGATTTTATCCTAAAATTGTTCAATATGAACATTTTTTGGATTTTTTTAGGAGTTTTCCTTCTTTGCAAAACCGGTCCCAAAAATGTGGAATCACAGTTTTCCTTATAACTTTGCGTAGGCGGATTTGTTTAAGGTGCTTAAAGTTAGGTTTCCTTCCTTTTCTGGATTATGTTGATTGAGTTTTATTCTAAAAAAGAATAGTTACGAAAAAAACAATAAATTTTGGATGAACATATCACAAGTTGGAAATTAATATTTGTGATATATTGGCAAAATATTGTATACAAGTTATTATTAATAAAGGGTGATAAATAAAGAAAAACAAATTTAAAGAAATAACAGATAAATATTATGAGTCATAGACTATAGTATGGATATCCCCATAGTGTAAAATTTGTTTTTCTTCAATTCTATAGTTTATTTTTAACTATTCACTTTTGTGTTACTATGATAAAACATTCTGATGTGATGATTTTACAATTTTTAAATACATTTCGGTAATTTGAATATGTCTTTTACAATTTTCTTCTTTATTACCTTCCTTTTCAACTGGTATTTAAATTACAGATGTATTGAAAAAGGCAATTTCATAAGATAGAGTTATTGTCTTTAAAAATGTAATACAAATGTTGCTTACAAACAACAAAAACTTAGACTTAACTGAGTTTTATTTGATAACTTTAAACTGTTTGAGAAAATTAAGGATGTAACTTTCAAAATGATATACTTTTAACTTATGTTTGAGGATAATTTGTCCAAAATGTTAAGCAGGTTTTGGCTACCATTACATAGGTCCTACTAGGAGCATTGACTGTACTAGTATACTTATTCAATGCTTTTGGCCAGTATGCAACTTTGAATATTAATGATGATGATATTAATTGCTATGTTTGTGAGAAACTTAATAATTGTAAGAAATTAAACTACCCTAAAAAAGATCAACAATTGTAATAAAGCTAACATTTTGACGTAAAATCACAGATAAGGAAATATGCAATTCCCTTGTCTATTTCCTCATCTGTGGTAAAATGTAGATGTTAAATTTATTTTTAAAAAATACTTTTGTACCGGTACTGGAAAAACGGACCATAACACCATGCATTTGACGGTACATGCCTCAATACTAAATGTATATGAATTTTATCGTTTTCTGGAAACAATATTGCTTTACAGAAGGTTGGTTTTTCTTAACATATTCACGCTCTGACAAAGTGTTTAAGTCTCTGCAAGAATAAGGTAGAATAAAGTGTAATGTCCTTGTGCTGATTTGTCAGTCTTTGACCGTTGAGAGTTCTTTGTTCTATTATTTTTGTTATGTTTGATTACAGCTGGTTTTCCTTAATCTCATCTGCTCGGTTTTCTCTTTGCCTTTTCTTTCTGTTCAAAGTTCAAAACTCATTTCTGAGGCATAAAGAATAATAATATGATTAGGATTAGACGAAAAAAGTTAATAATTCACAAAATTTTGAATATGCAGATTGTATATCTATCATAAAGAGTAAGTTGCCCCACTCAATTAGGTTACAATCAAAATCAATAAGAGAAGTTTATTTGATATCCATTTTCTACCTATGTGTCTTTATGATGTTCTTTTTTTATGTTCCTGATGGATATCATCATATTATATGTAGTATGAGAAAGGGAGAGGCTATAAAATAACAGCAATCCAAAAAATGGAAAGAGATTCTATTTGTTTTATTTTCTCCTTTAGGACAAAAACAGAACCGCCCAAAAGGCTGCACGTTAGACAGTGGAGAAAAAATAAAACTAGGCCAGCAAGTGGACGTACCAGGCAAATGCAGATTGCACAAATGTATCGGCAACGGGGAATGGACCACGGGACCGTAAGTTGAACACTTAAAGATTTCTTTGACATATGGACAAGATGGTTGGGCTTTGTTACTGACTGAGATGATCGAAGCCCAGTTCTGAACCATCAAAAAGCTACTAGCCTTTCTCTTGATATTGAGTAATGTTATTTTGTTAATTTAATTATTCATTTATAACGGTTTAACAGTGAATTTCTAGATTCTTACTTAACAATTGCATATTTGCAACCAAATGATGACACATCGTGTAAAACTATTGTGGTATGAAATTAATTTGTTGCTTGTAAGAATGCAGAATAGAATATCTTCGATCTTGTAAATTCACTGTTTTATACAGGAACATACCTAGTAATAGGAAGAAAGTACAATTGCTACTTAAATTTATCATAGATTATTGATCATAGATTTAACAATCCTTTATAAATCGAGTGTCCCATTGGTCAATCTGACATCAAATTAGACTGATCCCACAAACATCTTCATCATTGCACACGTACCAACACAAAATGAACAATAAAAAGATTAAAACGAAAGGCGTGCTACACTTTTGGAACAGACAGACGGAGGTTGTACAGCTGACACTACACAATCTGAATTTGGTGTCGGATTTGATAATGTGTCACTAGACTTGAAACAAGTAATTTACTGCACACTCAAAAGGCTGAAGAGAGAGAAGGTACATTATTATTAATGTGTTTTAACTACTCACTCCATTGCCACTGAGTTTCGACGAGTTATTTTCCCTAACTGCTTTTACTCAGCTTTCGAAACACTCTTTCTTTGGCTCCTTCCCACTTCTATCTCTATGGCGCCAATGGAGAACGAACTGGTGTAGTGGTTAGAGCGCAGGACTTTGCTCCCTGAGGTCCCGGGTTCAAATCCAGCCAAATCATCAATGGATTTCATCTAAATGATAATGTCGCAACTCCTAGATCTAGCATGATGATTAACAATGTGAAAAACAACTACGGGCTTGTACCTAGCGTAGCGTCCTAGGAAAAAAAAACTATGGCACAGATGAGTAAGGAACAGAGGATACACTCCATGGTACACGTGGTGTCTAGCACTAGTACTGGTGTCTAGAGCTAAGTCCAACAACCCCCCCTTGCCCTCATGTACTACAACGCTCACAGTGAAGGAAGACCCTGTCCTCTGTACAATAAGAACTTCTGCACAGTGCTCGCCATTCGCACTCTTCCATGCTCATCACAAGTATATTTCCCGCAAGACATACCAGAGTCCAATAAGCGTGTTTCCTCTGTGCCGTACCCTCTGTGACTATTGCCATTCAGGAGATCCCCAATAAGGTTGATCTAGTGGAAAGCATACAAATTGATGCTTGGGGTACCAAAACAGCCATTTTTACCAGTGATCGATTTTAGTAATTATTTAGTCTGCTATTTACTTTTCAGATGTGGATATCTAGGAGTTCCAGCAGGCTGGGGTTCAACGACCGAGGATACCTCTAATACAGCCAAGTATCCAGAGTGTTGCGCTCACTTGATTCCTCCACTGGATATAGTTCCGGATGTGCTCGACTCACAACCTGGAACTGAGTATATGACCATCAACTACGGTCCAGGTGTGACAGTTGATGTTGGCACTACCTTGACACCTACTCAGGTAAACAATCTAGCTCACAAACAAAAAGTTAAATAAAATTTAACAGATTGCTGATAATTTAGCTTTCTTCAAAAAAGCATTAACAATCCTGGAAAATGACCCTGTTTGCTTTTAGTAGCTATTGAAACGCGACTGAATTAAATAACCGAATCAATTGTTTGGTGGGGTGTTACCTCCATGCCCCTCCCCCATTACTCTGCCCCTAATCCTTGTCAAACAAGTAAGGTTGTTGTGGTCAGTAAAACAATCGCAAGTAATCTAAGCCCCTTTTACACATACCCTTCATTTATTGTAGTCAGCATGAAATACACAAACAATAATGTCTTTTTTGTGTGTTTCTGCTTCAATAACATTGGTATTTCTAGCCGTTTTTTTCTAAGTAAACTTGAGTGAACGGTCTAAAACCATGGTCCGGTTAATGTCGAACCGGTCCCTTTGATAGATAGCTGCCCAATGACAAATGTCATCTAGGTCAAAAAAATTCTTGCTTGGAATAGAACTAGTTATTAGTGTAGTTGTCCAATAAGTAGTAGAATGTATATGATTAATTGATATTATGTTTTGCTTGATCATTTTAGAGTAAAATATTACGGTTGCATATTTATGAATATGAACTTCCGTCTCCTGCTTAAACTGCTGATTTAAACTACTTTCCTTAAGAATTTGTGGCTCTCTAACTTATGATGCCACAGGTGTAGACTATAATCTTTGACTATCCAATAGTCAAATAAACAAATAGTCAAATAGTCAAATAACAAATAAAAATATGTTCCGTCAAATACATATCTATATAATCATTGAGAATTTTGATTTTTTCTGTTCAGGTTAAAGGAGAACCAGAAGTAAACTACACATTCTGGGCGGATCCCAAGTCCTACTACCTCCTTGCCATGGTAGATCCGGATGCACCGAGCAGACAGAATCCGCAAAACAGAGAGTTCCTGCACTGGTTGGTAGCGAACATTCCCGGAGACAACATCAAGTCCGGAGAAACGATCGTGGAATATGTTGGAGCAGGACCCCCGCAAGGGACTGGGCTACACAGATACTTCTTCTTGCTTTACAAGCAACCAGGAAGAATAAATATCAATCAGCAAAGGATGAACAAGAACTCTGTTGGGTGGAGACCAAAATTTTCCATTAAGAAGTTTGCCAAAAATTATCGTCTCGGTCGTCCTGAAAGTGTTAATGTATTTCAGGCCATGTATGACAGTTATGTACCGGAAATTCAAAAACAGCTCTCAGGGACTAGCTCACCATCTGGAAATGTGTTGGGTCAACAAAACTACGGTAACAACCCATGGGGAGCTTCTGGTCAACAACCTGGTCAAAATCCAAATCCACAACAACCTGGCCTCGGACCTTGGGTACAAACTCAACAACCACAACAACCTAATGTCAACTGGCAACAAACTGAACGACCTTCCTACCCCAACCAGCCAGGTCAACAATTCGGCCCCAACAACTATCAACAACCACAACAACCTAACTACTCCAACCAGCCATCTGGCTCCAACAACTATCAACAACCACAACAACCTAACTACTCCAACCAGCCATCTGGCCCCAACAACTATCAACAACCACAAAACGGTTACAACTCACAACCCAGCGCTACTTCTTCCGGTAACTACTGGTTCGAGAAAAGAAAACAACAACAAGGTTAAAAACATTGAACCATCGGCTCGGTGAGGGAGAATAGCTTGAGTCCCTGTGAATTCCTTGTACCCCTGCAAGGCAGCTTGGAGCAGCTCCTCAAAATGAAATGTAAATATTGTTTATTCAAAGACGAATGATTGTGTATGTTGAACTGTGGTGACTGTGTTGTTGTGTATTATTGAACTGAGATTAAATATTTAAAACTTTTGTATAATCAGAGTGTTTTCTATTCCTATTTTATAGCGTGAAAACCTATTTCTTTGTGTGACTATAATAATCGTTGTTATTTGCATGCTAAAGCTTAGAACTATTAACAAAAAGGTAGAATGTGTTACCATTTGAGACGGTTTGTGACAAAAGATGTGTAATTCTAAACTCGGCTATATTTGGTGCTTGAGCGATTATTACAGACTTCCCATCACAATTAGTAAAAAACTAGTTTTCATTACAATCAAGGATCTGATCCTGTTTCCAGCTAAGAAAGTACCTAAAACATAACAAGATTTAAAAACCACAGTTTCAAAAACCTGGAAAATCACAAAGAATAGACCTAATAACACAGGAAACTGTAAAGTACTCAGAACAAAATGAAAATACAAAATACAAAATGAAACCTGAAACATATGATAGGTTAGAATGAAAGGTCTGCAACAATCCTTCAAGCACCAAAATTGAACTTTAAAAGGACACTTAACTTATTGCAACTGAGTAGAGGTCGTGCGGAACGAGGTGAAGCCTGAGATTTTCGGCGGGAACGGTCTAAAGCGGGGAAATCCATGGTGGGGGTAGGAGACGAGCCGATCGTCGCCTCGCATAGCGACACTTCTCCCGCCACACCACTATTCCCCTCCAAGCTTCACCTCGTTCCGTACGACCTCTAAATTAAAAGAGACAACTTTTGAAATGAATTATCTATTTTATGGAAGCATAGTATTAAATGAATAGTCAAATGTTAAAACTCCCCTTGTGAGTCAAGACGTGTTTCAAGTGTGTTAGGTATAGAGCAAAAATGTCTTCAAGAAAGCTGCTAAGGAAGGTTAATCGCTGTGTCTAAGCAGTAGATTCAGGGCCAGGCCCAAGGATGCAAGAAGGTTTGGGTTTGTTGGGGGCGCAAGGAAGAAAATTTCCCCGTATGATGGGTGGAGAGGGTACAGTTATCTCTCAGACCCCTATCGCATCACATGCAAAACGCGGGTCGGAGTAGGCCAGTTTTGAGAAACAAAGTATTTTGAGTGATAATCATTTCAAGCTACACTGTCGAACGTTTAGTTGAAATCTTGGCAGAGATTGTTTTGTTACCGGTTCAACCCTTAGAATGTTCGGTGGTTTAAAATTGGGTCCAGCTTATCCTTGAACTCGGCTTTATATACATGATCTAGGGAACCAGTTATTCTTCTTTACACATGATTTAGTCGAGGTACTAAATAAGCTAAAATTTAAATCATATTGAACCTATTTTTTCAAACTACCAAATTGTGACTTAATGGGAAAGTTAGAAGTACAGTACTAAAGTATATATATTGTTATGTCTTCTCTAAGACTGTTAATAATTCATTTATACCTATTTTTACTATCATATGTTTTCTATTGTTTTTGTCTTGTAAACATTCATGAATTAGATTTTGTGTTGAGTTAAGATGCGTGCATTTATTAATTACTAGCTGTATCCGCAGGCTTTGCCCCGTTTAATCTCATAAGTATTCGCATGGCTCATTCACGTCCTGGTTGAAGTTCGTTCGCTACGCTCACTCACCTTTAGGTTGGAGCTCGTTCGCTGCGCTCACTTGCCTTCAGGTTAGCTCGTTCGCTACGCTAACTCGCCTCCAGGTTGAAGTTTGTTCGCTACGCTCACTCACCTTTTAGCGAATTTCCCTATAGGGAAGTAGCTATTACCGTAGGTCTCATGGTAAGACCTAAGCCCGGGACCGATTTACTTTTTCATTTTGATGTCCCCAGAGGCCAAAAACACCATTCGTTCAAATTTTTATATATCTATATATAGAGATATATATATATATATATATGTGTCCATCCGCACGATAACTTGAGTAATTTTTGTCCGATTTTGATGAAATTTGGTTTGAAGGTGTAAGGCGGGATAAACTTGAATGAGTTCGCGAACCAGCATGATCGGACTATGGGAACGGGGGTTTATGGGGGGTTTTATGGGGTAAAAATAGGTTTTTCCCTTTTTTGACCCTAAAAACACAAAATTTCACAATTTATTTTTAAATCATTTTGTAGAGCTTAAAAAAACAAATAATTTAGTATATTGAAGCGTTATTATGCGCCTAATTGTTACGGAGAAAATTCAAAAAAATTGTAATTTTAAAATTCTCATGTTATTCTTATGGAGAATAAGTCAACTGTTGTAGTTTGCTTGTTTATGAACATATTTTGATCAAATTTGGAAAATACATTAATTTCTTACTAAACCACAGTACCTTTTAACATTTTACATAAAAAAAAACATTTTACCCTCCCTGTTGCAGCAAACCTAAGTACTCATTGAACTACAGTAATTCTGTTTAAACTTGGAATAGGCTAAATGTGATATTTTTAAGGAGACATTTTAGTTTAAATCCAATCAGGCAAATGGAAATTCGCTAAGTCTGCAGGTTTGCTGCGGCGGGGGTATTGGTTGGAAATTAGCTGTTGTCATAAATTAAAAAAAAAAATAATAGTGCTGCACCCTGTTGGTAATCCTTGTAACTTTTATGCTATTGAACATCATAGAACAGAACCAACTTGTTTAATTGAAACAGCTGTTAAGATTCATTAATTCCTTTTAAATATGAAAAACCATAAGGTTAACATGGGGAACTACAGAGCCACTGGGGCGGAGACCGAAAGGATTTTTGGGATAATAATATGCTTTAATGTTAATCGGGAATGTGAGCTATCATCATGCCAAATTTCAGCCCAATCCGTCCAGTAGTTTATGCGTGATTGAGCAACACACACACACACACACACACACACACAAACTCACAAACTTTCAGATTTATAATATTAGTAAGACTAGCAGAGTACCCGTCCTTCGTACGGGGTTGGCATATAAGTATAAAATGTTTATTTCAGTTATGAGAGAGGACAGGGTTTAAGAAAATTTGGTCTTTTAATTTATACGGTATCCTATACTTTAATACTTTTAATACTGTTCTATGAAATGGCAACCATACAAAGTAGGTATTTTAAGCCAAGTATGAATGGAGATGAGTGTAGGATGAGTGGCGCGATCTTGTAGTCTTGTTAGTGACTAAGGACGACATATTCCTTAGACACAGCTGTTAATTAATAACAGCTAATGGCAACTAAGGGACCTACAGTTTATAGTGGAATCTGAACCACATTTTTGCCTTGGTATACACGAATTGGTCTAATTATCACAATAGTACTGCGGATAGTCGTAGTACTCACTCGTGCAGACGTTAATCCACACCAGAGAGTATCGCATCCACAGCGCATGCCAATAAATATCCACAACATAAATATAGTGTAGAGTGTAGCACACATCTACCATAGCCCTAATGTTCTACCACTGCACCTAAACCATAGAAAAAAGTAAAGTTCTCATTGTGTACCACTACTTTTTGTTGCTAGTTGGTTCAAATTAGCTGTTGTCATAAAATGCAAACAACATAATAGTGCTGCACCTTGTTGGTAAGGCTTGTAACTTTTTAATGCTATTTAATATCATAGAACCAACTTGTGCAGCTGAAACGGCTGACAAAATTCTTTAATTCCTTTAAATACTCATAAGGTTAACATGAGAAACTCCAGAGCCAATGGGGTGGAACCAGAAAGGATTTTTGAGGTAAGAATATTTCTATATGTTAATCGAGAATGTGAGCTATCATCATACCAAATTTCAACCTTGTCGGTTTAGTATTTTTTGCGTTTACTTGTCACATACATCCATCCATACATACATACATACATTCATACATCCACACGTCCATACATCCAAACTTTCGTACTTAAAATATTAGTAGGATAAATAAACTGTTGTAATATTGCTTGCTTATGCATTTTGTAATTAATAAGAGTTTTGCACATATCAGACAGTAATACTTCTTTGTCTCTCGATATTCCCTCGATATTAATCAAGATCGTTACTAATGGCCTTGAAAAAGACCGTTTAGGCAGATTCATTTTCACATTCATGTTAGCATTGCCCGGGTCGCGCCCGAATGTGATGTCGTTCATAGCAAGTAATGGTCACAATCTTCGGGGAGGCTCCTTCTGTGCACCCCAAACCTGGGAAAGATCAAACCTGGGAAAGATCCAAACGATCCTAAGAACTTTCAACCTGTTTCTCTCTTATGCACACATATAAAATAAATATTAGAACGTCTGATACTCAATCGAATCGGCGATTTTCTGGAACAAAAAATCATTCCACAACAGGCAGGCTTTCGATCAGGCAAGTCTTGTTGTGGCCAAGTTTTAAACCTGACCCAGCACATTGAGGATGGGTTTGAGAGAAAACAGATCACAGGTGTCGCTTTTGTAGATTTAACCCCAGTAAACAGACTCTATCCTATCATAGGGATCGCCCCTCCATCAATCCGACGTGATGTCGCTGCCGACGCAGAAAGGACCAAGCAAGAGAAAGACCCTCGTCACCCATTACACGACCACCAACCTGCAGAGCGACGGCTTCGGACCAGAAAGACTTTTTATCACGGACACGAGTCCTGGATGGATCACTCTCAAGCAATCGGGTGGCAAGGTGGGAGGCCAAGTTGACTAACCCTCCCATACCAGCCAGGGAGGAACTGGCTCCTGGTGGAGGCTTTCATTACACGGTGTGGAAGACCATAAATCGAATTAGGGTCGAGGTACCAAAATGCAAGACAAACATGTTGAAATGGGGTCTCTTACCAGACGAAGAAAACATCTTGTGCGCGTGTGGTGCTATTCAGGATCCTGGCCATCTGCTGATCTGCCCACGCCTAGACCGGTCTTGCACATTAGATGATCTTTTACATGCAAATGACAAAGCCATATCGGTAGCTAATTTTTGGAAAAGCGAAGTCTGATTTCCGGACCTGGAAAGTAAGTAAGTATTAATAAGAGTCATTTTATATATTTATTTGTATGTATTTTAAAAGTACCAAAATACTATTCAGTGGTATGATTGACTAACAACAGAGTCATATCAACCGAAAGCGTAAAATTCACTAATAAATCTCAATGGAAATTCCTATGACATCATCTCCATAAATTACTCGGTTTTCCTTGAGGCAAGTGTGCAGCACAAAGATGCAAACATATTCCTCAAGGCCACCAGATGACTTCAAACTTTCAACACATTAACAAAAAACCTTCATTTGTTATGCGTAGGCCGTGTGAATATTTAAATCTTTAGCTAGAACATCACATATCTTACACTTGTGTTGGTGTGAGTTTCAAGTCTTCCCACCAGTTTTATGTCAGCTGATGACTCAAAATGGTTTGGATACTTCCATCATTGTTTCCTCTGCTCAGTGTTTGCTTGACTGCACATTCAGGTAATAATTTATTGCATAGAACAGAGTTTCTGGGCTATTTGTATCAAGAAACAACTAACTTGTGTGATATAACGATGTATTTTTATTTTAAAATAACTATGCTAATATATGAAAACAACCAAGAGTGCACTATTATTTAGTAAACATCAATATGGTCAAAATTAAACGCTACCATTCCATATTTTAAGTTTTAAAATACTCATTAATATAATAAACGTACATCTAAATGAAAACTGTGACAGCAGGATGACTTAGACAGGCAATCTTACGGATTCAAAGCCAACAATTGTGTTTTAATTACTTTACACCTTAGTAAAAATAATCATTAGGTTGAGATTTATGTACTATGGTTTTTAGTTTAAATTACCAAATTAAAACCACTAACAGAATTATTATTTTCTTGATACCTCTAGACCGGACACTCTGCATAATTTATAGTTTATAGTGTCTGTATAATAGTATACACTTAGTGTAAGAAAATCAACTTTTAGATACTCCAGAACTAAAGTAGATATCCCATTAAAGAATGTATGGGAAAAAAGATAACGATAAGGTTAAGCTCTTTTAGATACAGCTGAAAAGCTGTATCAGATAGTTGCCGATTCGATCCTGAGAAAACACAAAATAATTTTAACGGTTCGAAACTGGACTCAGTTTTCCTAGATCATTGGGCAATAAATGATCATGGAAAAAACCAACCAACTCAAGTCAGAAACTAAGGTGTGATCTCATTCATTCAATATTGTCAATTATTTTGCCAATAATCAATAAACGCAATAAATCAAATAAAATCAGTGTGACAGAGTCGCAATATTCAAAAATATTTAAAATTATCTCTGGTAAGCTAACTGAAATCTATCCTTTCTCAAAATAATTCTCAACAAACCACTTGGCTTTCTTGCTAAATATTACCTTCATTTCCAATTTTAACCTTGAAACTGAATCACCCTCTACAAACGTTATGTACAGTTTCAGGTGACTGCATGGTGGACGACCACGTAGTCAAAGTAGGGGAGAAAGTCGACGTTCCTGGCAAGTGTGTCTACCGAGCCTGCGCTGGCACTGACCAATGGATCATGAAGGCGTAAGTGATTGGCAGCCAATTGATGAAATTGAACTAATTTTTGCAGGATTGTTTAATTAGACAGTGCACAGTAGAACCCCTAATATTGGCTTTGAGATGACCAGAAAAATATTTGACAATCGGAATACAGGACGTAGTAGTTTTAGTGAATTTCCCATAGAAAATAGATAAGACTGTAGGTAGTATGGTAGACTAAGAGCCAGGATTGGTTTAAGTTTTTCATTTTGATGTCCCAAGAAGCCAAAAACACTACACTCTACCGCTGGTTCACATAACTTTAGATAATTAACTTTTGGTATTAACTTTAGTGTTTAAACTTAAAAGGCAATAATTTTAGTCAATGCTACAGTAAATTCCTTTCCGATCTTCCATTATCTAATCCTCCCTTTGGACAATCAAGTACATAGTAATCGCATTCTTATTACATGTATGACTATACACCGCAGCAGGTGTATTGTAAAAACCTATTTTGCTGCCACTGATTGTACTGGACGATATGTATTTGGCGGCACCTACACTTAACCGTACTTTTTCTTTTTGAGTGCACTCCTTACAACACACTTGGTGAACTCCTCATACAAGCATACATCGATACATCATGCTACCCTAAACATCTGATTGCTGTGTGACTGTGAACATACAACTTTGGCTGATTGGTTGAGTATCGCTTTATCTGTAATGTTTTGCGCTTACACCAATGGTGTTTTTACTAGTTATTTTATGTTTTTGCTAGGTTATTTGTAGGTCAAATCCATGAATATGAGTATGTTTGGCAGTGGACAAACTTTAATAATTGATTTTCAACATGTTTTCTGTGGGTTTTTGTTGTTCTGTAATCCAACCTTGCCGCAGTTGATCAAGATTACTAATACCAAAGATAGAGCTACAGATTAGTGTATTTTACCATTTGTCTTTAGGTGTGCGTCCATCGGGCTAGCTCCAGGATGGATCGTTACCCCCGAGGATGTGTCAAAGATGTACCCAGAGTGTTGCGGGAGAGCTGCGCCTCTTCTGAACATCATTCCTGATGTCGTGACGGGGCTGCGATGGAGCCTTGCGTTGAAACTAACCTACGCTAACAACACCGTGGACTACGGCAATGAGCTGACACCGACGCAGGTGAAACTTCCACCAGTTGTCGACTACTGGGCGGACCGTGACTCTTGGTTCTTGCTATCCATGGTCGACCCTGATGCTTCCACCCAGTTCCTTCACTGGCTCGTAGGAAACATCGCGGGGAACGACGTAGCGAGCGGAGATAATCTAGCAGAGTATGTCGGCTCTGGACCTCCTAAAGGAACGGGTCTACACCGATATGTATTCCTTCTATACAAACAGAGCGGAAATATCACATTTGACGAACCTCTTTTGGACACGAGTTACCAAGGAAGACGAAACTTTTCGGTTGAGAAGTTTTCCCGAAAATACAACCTTAGCGATCCTATCAGTCTGAATTTTTTTGTCGCCCAGTATGATGATTACGTCCCCGAAGTTCACAAGCAGCTTGGAATAACTTCAGTTGATTGATTAAATTTTGTCGAGGATTTAGATTTAGTAAAATTTATTTGTTTAGAATAAAAAAAGGTGTTGGCAAATATGGTTTTTAACCTGCTACTCTAATCTGGTATTTACCAAAGCAGCAATGTATTTATAAAATAAAATATTTTACTGATTAATTGTAGTTTATTTTGTATACATTTTTATCGTTAAATACAAATCCATTAAACAATATTATGTTACTTGATGTTTATTTAGACAACATTGTGTTGATTTGGTTTTAACGTTATATTGTTAGTAATGGTAAAATTTTATTTGCTTGGAGGTGTTGTTTTTTAAGGAGTATTGAAGTCTTTGTTTTAAACGTCCGTAGATCGCTTTGACTAGAAACTGGACTTTGGTATCTAAAACTTAAAGATTCTAGCTAAACAATACAGGTGTGAGATTTTTGTTATTATTGTTTTCGTCAGTCCTTTTGTTTGTGATTTTTCTGTTCCTTGAGTGTAGTTTAAATTTCAGGTAGGGATGGTCAAGTCTCGAAATTTCGGGAAATTTTCGGGAAATTTTAAATCTCGTTACACGAGACGAGATTTCTTTTTAGCCGAGATTTTTATCGAGACGAGAATTAAAAAAAAAAAAAATTAAAAACGCCTGCAGAAAGTCAATGCAATACCCGCAATACAGGAGCGTGTTGTAGTTGCGTTTCCTTTGCGAAGGCGTTCTTATTTAATTAATTCTTAAAATGTAAATATTACTTTAATTATTTTAATAACATTTGAGAAGTTTTGTTAAGTGTTAGCAGTGTGAGGAATGTTTTATTACTATAAAAAAATTCAAAACAAGTAACTATTTTATAAAAATTAATATTTTATTTTATGATTTATTTTATTTTAGGATAAGTTGAACTCTATCCTAACTGATATCACTGTTTCCTAATCGTAGGCATTTTTAATAATTTAGGCGTGATTAATAAAAAAATGTTATGCTGATGTTTTTTAATAAAAGATTGTAAATATTCTTGCCTATTATCATTATTTTTGTATTTAAACAGTCATCTAACAATGTTACAAAATCAGGTAAAAATTCCGAACGTGCATTTCCCGTTGTGTATGAGAAGGGAAATCCCGTCTCGATCTCGTCTCGAAAGTTTTTGAGAAATGAAAAATCTCGTCTCGTCTCGTCTCGAACTAAAAATCCAATCTTGTCCATCCCTAAAGGTTTAACAATTTTAGTGCTCTTTCTAGTCTGTAATGTTTACAATTTTTGTCTCCATTGGGTCAAAGACAACGGTAACACTAAATTTACAACGTTGATGTAGTGAAATATTTGTTAACAGTTGACATTGTGGCAAAGTGATGAATTTATTCAATAATCCCTTAAAAATTTTAAGAAAAAAGTTAAACAAAAATTATGTTAAGCCTAAAATAAACTTAGTTCAAATCATGAAGTTCAAAGGGTGAGTATGTAAAAAATTACATCGGAAAGATACTAAATTAATTTATTTAGCTTTACAATATAAAAAATTTGTTAAAATAAAACCCCTTATAAAAAGAGTGATAAAACTTTTGTAAAAAAGGACATTATCCAAAATCTAATTTAACATCACCAATTATAAAATTTACAATTTTAGAACAGCAATAAATTAACATTCGTAACAGTAATATATTTTTAACATAGTGATTATGTTAAACCATGTTTTCAATCTATTTATGTTATTTGATCAACCTGAAGAGACTTTTTACATAACATAGCACCAACTATAGATTAGACATACCTTATGTCTAGCATAATTATTTTAGTGTAGAATTACTATCTCTATTTTACAATGAATCATAATCAACTTATTTGAAAGACTTCAATTACAATATTATGTTTAGTGAATAAAATGTTATACTACTTCTGTACAGGCACCAAATCGCAGTCATAATTTAAATATTTACTATCTACATCTGATGGCCGAGCATTGCTCAAAAATTTGTTTCAGTCCATCTTAAGTTTAGTAAACTCTCAAACTTTAAGCACAAAATCATCCTTTGGTATATACTATATAAGCAAACTTAAATATACAAATTATTTACAATAAAATAAAGCAAATTTGGTATAAAATAGGACACACACATGTAAACTCGTTCATAAAGAAACTATTCAGTGTGATATATTTTTTACCATTATAGATACAGTAATTAGACTTGGTATATGAATAATAACAATAAATGTCTACTCTTTTAAGCTATTATCACTTTTTTATCCCTTAAGGGGGACGGCATACGAGGAGTCAGAAAAAATTCTTAAATAGCAGCGTAGGTGGAGTTTGGTATCACATTATTGAATGGTCTTAGCTAGGAAAACACATTGCCGCAATTCCGAACTCAAACGGACAACCGAGTCAAAAATAGCAGCCGTTTAGATATTAAATCTGCCATTTTGAATCTTCGAACGGCTGCTAAGGAATAAAAAAGTGATAATAGCTTAAAAGAGTAGACATTTATGGTTATTATTAATATACCAAGTTCTCATTACTTCAACTTTAATGGTAAAAAACATAATACACCGTTCCGGGACTTTTCATTCACACTGTATATCATATCTGTGGTGTAAAATTATGGCTAAATTGAGATGATTAGCTACAAACACAATCTAAATAATAAAAAGTTCAGTTAATTTGATCAATGAATCAAATGAATCAATGAATAGTCTTACCCGCTAGATCTTACCCTAAAACAACAGACCAAAGTTTTAAAATTCAATTCCTACTTAAGTCAACCGATAGGAAATGTATTCTAGTTATTTTTTAAAATAATTACAATAAATAAAAGTTTGTGGGAAGTTATGCCAGAAAATTTGGGAAAGCATGAAATTGTTTTGTATAGGAATGTTGGTGGATGTAAGTTATTAATCTTTTTGACATATATCTGAAGAAGAAAAACTATTGTTCAATCCTTTTTTATATTTTGTTGAGTGTTGGTTAAGACTATTGTTTTTGTGAGTTATTTTTCTTTGAAAAAAATAACATTAACTAGATTATGTAAAAAAAAGATTATGTGCAAAAATATAATAGCTGATTTAGTATTTAAAATAAACAATACTTTACAAGTAATATCCACAGATTAAAAAATAAACACACTTGAGTGTAAATAAATATATAGGGGGGTGATAAGGGCAGACCTACACTAGCCAGACCACGACTATACGCCCGACTGGTCGTTGTCATTCACCATGCGGCCAGAGCACAACCCGAACACGACCAGCCCATAACAAAAACAACAAATGTATACCAAACCAACCAAACTTCAATGACAAGATGAAGACCTTGTTGCATTAGTGCAGAAGAAAAACTGTACTGGGTGCATCCGATGTTAATCATCCTCCCAAATTGACTTCTTCGTCCCTCTTTTGGCACAATTTTCTGACGATAGAAGGCATTTCCTTAACAGCCATGACAAAACCCTCAGTGTCAAAATATAACTGTGACATAAAAAAAAGGTACTTCGCACACCACAGAAAAACAAGTGCTAACCGTTCGCTTGATCTAGGACTACCTACTGGTCGGGTTGGAGGCAGTGTGCGTTGCGCATTCAATAAGTTCAATTTTTGGCTGCAACTGCCAGTGAGTCAGGCTCGTCCAAAGTCCTAGGAGTATGGTTGTCCGACTAAGGTCCGACCAATCGGCCTACTGTAAAACTGGCCGTATCCAATCGCTCGGAGTCATGGTCGGGCTAATGCGTGCCAGCCCTACGTTAATAGTAGAAATTGAAAAGCAATAATCTTACAAAGATATTAACAGCTTAAACTGTTCAGTAACTTATTACTACATATTTAGAAGATAAATTTAGGTAAACGTCTAAGTAAATACAAGTAAATATTAAAAACCAACAACATCACAAATATTTACTGCTACGTATAGACCCTTAAAATAACTAGATAAGTACAAATATAAGTGTTAAATATTCTATAAAACGTTGATTTTAACCATTGGAAGACTTACCCAAATAAGTATAGTAAAGTAAGTATTAAAGTCCTTATTCGCTAAATTACTAAGGCAGATTAACTACAGAAGCTAAACTGTAGAATTTATATCGGATTCCACACTAAAAACGAGTTTTTAAAGACAATTTTGCTTGAGATAAAACTTAACAATACAAGTAACTACTTCTTGAGCCGCATTTACACCGGAGTTTAAAACCCTTGTTTTAAACAAGCTTATAACAATCATGCCGATTAAAAGTAAATATTAGTACATAAATTTTGTTTTCCCACAAGTCAGAAACAATGCTTTTTCAACATTTCAGGGTATTAAAAAAGTCATTATTGACTATACCTCTGCAGTGCATATACAGGTCACAAATCTCAAATTGTGTTAATCACTATTTACAGTCAGTGGCCAACTTGTTTAAGATTACGACAGTCAACTATCGGTTATAAATTGTTAACATATGGTCAAGAAGGCAGTCTTATCACGCAGCTGTATCTCGAAGAGAGAGAGACGTCGCCCTAGAGTTGAGAGTCCTACTAGGGGGCAACGTCTCCGGTAGGTTGTAACTGAAATAGGAAAATTGTTTACTTAACTGGAGAATCATGGAACTAAGAAGTATATAGGAAAAATTACATCATTCAAGATTATTTAAGTGCGTTCAATTGGCTAGTCCTACAAGAGAGTTCCGCTAATCTCGGCCCCGCTAATCCGAACACTCGGCTGATCGGAACCATTGGTTGGTTACTGTACAAAACAAGTTAAAAAGATATTACATTTCAATTAAAAATAAACCTACATTTGTTCTGAATTACTTCTAGGGTTTCCAGCCACTAGGAAACCAGGACGGTCAAACATTGTACAAGAATTTTGATGATTGGTAAAAAGTCTATCAAATTCATAAGGAACAAGAAAATTTGGAAAATGTTGTTAATAGCCTATGGCAAAACATCAATGGCAGTCATTAATGGTGTTTCGTCACCGTGATCATGGCAACACCAGACTAATTTAGTGCAATCACAGGATTTTTTTTGGGAATCAAACTCTTCTATATCAAACTAAACGTTAATTCGCTATCCATCACGGCAGCTACCCAAAATAATTAATGCATTAAAACTTAAATGAATTAAAAACGGAAATGTCTAGTAAACACTCTAACTCCCAGCTAATAACTGAAGTAAATTCAAATTTCTTCTACTACGCCTAACCATGTCCAAATGAACGGACACTTGAGCGGATGTATACTTAAGCATCCATAGGTCAATTGTAAATAGAATACTCACTGGAAGAAGGCGACCAGCGCCGCAGTGCTGGAAGCAAACAAGAGGAAGGAGTATTGTCCGATGACCAGCTGCAGGGAGGGAAATGTGAGACCGACCAGGAGGTTTCCTGACCAGTTGGCAGCACTGCCTAGAGCCATGGCTGCCGGCCGAGGACCCACATCAAACAACTCTGCAACACCAGACAAAACTGCTTGTCAAAACAACTTCCAAGACTGCTTTTGTTGTAGTCTTCAACAACACTGCTTTTGTTCAACATGGCAGCCTTCATCTATACTGGGACCGTGGCGTCCTGTAATCCAGCTGCTTGGAGCTCACTAATTGTGGATATTAGGCATGATCTGTGGATGCGATACTCCCTGTGTGGATTAACGTCCGCACTAGTGAGTAGTACCCACAGTATTATCCCGATAGTTAGACCAATTTTCGTAAATTACAAGGATAAATGTGGTTCGGATTCCACTATAAACTGTAGGTCCCTAAGTTGTCATTAGCTGTTTGGTTGGGCTATTAAAATAGTCCTACCTTAGGAACACGTTGGTCTTAGTCAAGACTAAAAGTAACAAGACTAAAATATCGTGCCACTAATCCTACACTAATCTCCATTCATATTCATACTTGGCTTAAAATACCTACCTTCGTATGGTCGCTGTTTCAATTAAAAGTATTAAGTATACGTCAACCCCTAATATTAGGTCTGATGATGATTGGAGTGTCCAATTAAAATTGACCACCTTTTACCATCAACAGTAAGTGTAAATATAGTTTCAAGTGTTATTAGACGTATTATTATGTACTTTGAGTAAATTTAACAAATACAATGCTGATTAAGAGGATATTACATTTGTAAACTATTGTAAGTCTAATTAATATAGAAATACATACCAGATCCAATGAAGAACGGTATTGGTCCCAGCCCAATCCCATATACAAGGACATAGAAAATCACACAAAAGATGGAGAATTTCGGCAGCCAACTAATTGCATCCTGTTAACAAAAAAAGTGTTGTTGCAACAATTTAACCTGTATTGTGGTTAAAGAAATGTACACAAAAGTTTTAAAGATTGTTGTGAGGACAGCAGGCTTAAACAGAAAAGATTGCACTCTATATTAGCGCAATCTTTACAATTGCGTACAAGAGTGTATATTTTTTTATACAAAGAAAGAGAAGCCCCCAACTCAACTAAAATCTTCTCCAGTTACAAATACTGTCAGAGAAAGTCAGGGCTGTTGCGTGGTTTATTGGCGCCCGGGGCTGGATGTTGTCTGCCCCCCCCCTCCCCCAAACAAATAATGAGTGATAGTCGTTATACAAAGTTGCGAGGCAGGTTGCGTCGCTATCTGTGTTTTAATTCCCAACAACAGACACCTAAAGGATAATTACCTTACAAAAATAGAGTCAGTAATCAGGGATTAAATTACTTATATTTTAGATGAAAGTGTAAGAAAATATTAAAACCTATAAAAAGTGCTATATGTTATTAATTAATATAAATACAGTGCAAATTAAATGTACACTGATACAATATTCACGTAAATAATTCGTAATCACTAATCAAACTAAGCTGACAGCTGAGCTGAGACTGAAACTGCCGTAGGAGAAAGAAGTGATTGGGGCAGGGGTGGGTGGAAAGTGGGGGAGGGGTGACACGTCAACATGTGCATATTTGAAGTCATTGTCTCTACCATGAGTCATCATCAGAGTCCTAAGGTCAGCCGTCGGCCGGTCGGGTGAAATAAAACATTGCAATATTGGCTCATATTAAGATGATTAAGTTGGGACAGGGCCTTCAACTCCACAGTGGGGTTCAATATCAGGCTATGATTACTAAACTAAAATTAGTATACAAGCAAATATACCAGCTACTCCATTTTCATAAAATATTTAATTTGGGAAAACGTTGCAAATATAAATAGTGATTGGTGTCAAATAATATGTAAGTTATTTGTTCAATAAGTACATACAACGTAATATTCAAAATTCAGTTACACATAACTTTTTAGAATACGCATCTAACCTAATTTTTTTTCAATTTTGTTGTGATATTTTTGCCGAGGTGCAGGTTTTTTTAACATTTTAACATTTACAATTTTTATATGGGTATATGTAATGTCTAGTTCGGTAGTCTCAAATCATGATTACAATGATTAGGAACTATTATGGTACAAAATCTGAAGAGGCTAACTAAAAGACGTACTAGGCTACTAGCAAATGTAATAAACATCAACCACAATGTATACTCGGCAAAAAAACATACGGTCCCAACCAAGAAACGTACCATGTATGTGATAGAGATGGTGAGCAAGATCAATGTGGCAGTGGCTGACAAACAGCTGATGTGTAGCAGAGTCCTGCGCCGACAACGGTTCACCACGGACACCATCACGATGGCGCAGAAAAAGTTGACCAGCCCGGCACCCATATTGGCATACTGGCTCTGTTCTTGACTCAGCCCGGCCGACTTGAAGATACGTGTAGAGTAGAAAAACACCTGCATTTGTAAATCCTTATATTTAACTAATAAATAAAAGAAAATGGTTATTTTTTATTTTATTTATTTATTTGATAAAATCACAAAATCTTACAAAATTGTATAAATAACTTGATGCAAAGGCCGTGAAAATTTGGCTTGTCTACAGCTCATAGAAAAAACTGGTTCTCAATCTACTTTGTGCTTAGTCAATCACCACTTTGGTTTTTCTTGTTTCCAGTCAAAATCTGCTTTCAACACTGTTTCCACTTATATTCCTACCTTTCAAAACAACTTCTATATAACTGATAGTTATGTATCTTAATCTTAGTGAGCAATGTAAGATAAACGTTTGCAAGTGCAGCTGTTCAAAATGAATAGTTTAAATTATTTATTATATCTGTAAATGAAAAACTGATGTTCCTTGGTGAACATTTAAGCAACACTGAAAATCTTTATTTATTTACAAATTGGAATAGAAGCATATTTTTTGTAATCATCTGTTTAAAGAAAGACAAAGTTCAATATAATTAAACCTTTAACTAACATAACATTTTCTCCGGGGCGAGTTTAAGTCATCAGCTTGACTAGTTTAGCAGTCGGTCTTCTCCAGGTGCCGGTGGACGTTTTGATGTCTGCCACCCTCACTTGGCCATCTCGTCCAGGGTAAACAGCTTCGACTACACCCTTTGTCCACCTTCCTCTGGCTTGGTTTTCATCAGTTATTAAGACCAGGTTACCGACTTGCAGGTTTACTTGTTTTGTGTGCCACTTGGAGCGTTTGTTTAGTAAAGGCACATATTCTTTCAGCCAACGTTTCCAGAATTTGTCTGCCATGTCCTGTGCGATCTTCCATTGTCTATGCAGGTGCTTCTCCGTTATAATGACAGCTGGTGTGACTCTATCTGCTCCTCCCTGGAGAAAGTGGTTTGGTGTCAAAGGGAGCTCATCATTAGGGTCGTCTGATACAGGAAATAAGGGTCTGTTGTTGATTATGTATTCTACTTCACATAATAGAGTAGTCAACGTTTCTTCTTTAGGAGCTTGGGTGTTTAAAATCACTCTTAAACATTTCTTCACCGATTGTATAAGACGTTCATGCGCACCACCCATGTGAGGGCTCGCCGGTGGTAGAAAAGTCCACTTCATCATCTTCCCCACGCAGAACGTTTTAATTTGTTCGTTATCAAAAGACTCAAGTCCTTTTCTTAATTCCTTCTCTGCGCCCTTAAAGTTGGTACCATTGTCTGATATCAATTCCGAAGGACAACCCCGTCTTGCTGCAAATCTCCTGATTGCAAGAATTGCCGAGTCTGTATTGAGAGAAGCTGCAATCTCCAAGTGTACCGCTCGCACTGACAGACATGTGAACAACACTCCATATCGCTTTTCTCTTCTGCGACCTATAGTGACTTCCAGAGGCCCAAAATAATCCACAGCCACACAGGTGAATGGACGTCCATAAGGTTCTAATCTGTTTGCCGGAAGAGGAGCCATCTCAGGATTTTTAGGTGTGTTTCTGCGCAGCTGACAATTCTTACAATTTGCCCAACAGCTCTTAATTGCTCGCTTCAAACGGATTACCCAAAATCGTTGTCTCAAATTATTTGCCACGGTTTCTTGACCTTGATGAGCTGCCTGTTCATGTTCATGTTGGATCAATAGGACTGTAAGTCGATGTTTAGGATCTAAAATTATGGGATTTTTCAGGTCTTGACTGATTTGGTTCCCATATTCAGTCCTTCCTCTCATTTTCAATAAGTTCCCTGTCAAAATAGGGCTTAGCTTATGAAGTCGACTTTCTCGAGGAACTGGCTTGTTCTCCTCAAGATTCTTCATTTCTTTAGGAAAAGATTCTAGTTGTGAAAGTCTGAAGCAGGTTTCTTCAGCTCGTTGAAGCTCTTCAACACCAAGACTCACATTTGTATTTCTCTCAGATTTACATCTCGTATTAGAAATGAATCGTTGCATCCATGCTACTGCTCTTATGAGTCTGGAGTATTTTGAAAATCTCTCCATATCGATAACATTTTCTTTGTTTTCAGGTAAAATTGCTAAGGCTACTTCATTGCAGTCTTCTTTTCTCGGAATGCTTTCAATTTTTGGCCATTCTTTTTCTTTTTTAAGTAAGAAGGCTGGACCTTGGAGCCAACGGCAATCGTTCGTTAATGGAGTTGATGATTCCCGTGTAGCTTCATCAGCTACATTTTCTGTCGTAGGTAACCACCTCCATTGATTTCTGTCTGAGTTGCTCAGTATTTTATCAACACGATTAGCAACATAGGCTGACTTTTGCTTTTGAGTTGCTTGAATCCAGCACCACACAATTCTTGAGTCCGTCCAAAAGTATGTTTGGTCTATTTCCATTTTGTGAAACTGATAGATCAAAGATGCAATTTGACTGCCTAATACAGCTGCTTGCAGTTCAAGTCTAGGGATGGTGGACAACTTTAGGGGAGCAACACGTGATCTTGCCAGTACAAAAACAACTTCTACGCTATCCTCTGGTTTTTCAGTCCTAAAATAAGCAACCGAACAAAATCCTTTCTCACTTGCGTCACAGAAAATATGTAATGATACAGTGCAGTTTGCAGTCAAGTTGTAGCATCGAGGTATTTTCAGATTTTCCGAAATCTTCACATCTTTCATCCAATTTTTCCATGCCTTTTCCAACTGCGCTGGAATTCTTTCATCCCACTGGACATTCATTTTCCACAGATTTTGTACCAGAATTTTGCCCTTCATTGTGATTGGAGTGATAAAGCCTATTGGATCATAAATGGACATCACAGCCTGGAGCACCTGTCGTTTGGTTGGTGGCTCTTTTAGATCAACGACTTCTTTCTTCACTTTTACAAAGTTGATTTTGAAAAGGAAGAAATCCTCATGGAAATTCCAGTGTATCCCGAGTACTCGCTCTGTGTCATCAGTTGTTATTCCAACATCTTCTTCTTTCAAGTAGTTTTTTGACCAACTTTTCTTTGGCAGACAGCTCATTAACTCTGGTGAATTGCTAATAAAGTTCCTCAAATTGAAACCACCTTTTTTACATATGTTTACAACTCCTTCTATTAAGCTCTTAGCTTCTTCCACAGATTGGTTGCTATCAAGATAATCATCCATGTAGAATTGTTGATTTACAGCTAGCTTTGCATCTGGATGTTCCTCTCCATGTTTTTCACTATTTTTTCTAGTTATGTAAATGGCACTGGTTGGTGAGCAAACTGCCCCAAAGATCATTGATGTCATACACCACTCCTGTAATTTTCCGTCAGTTTCTTCCCTCCATAAAAAACGTAGTGAGTCTTGATCTTCTGGAATAATCTTTATTCTCAAAAACATCTCTTCAATATCTGCTGCGTATGCGATTTCATGTTTTCTGAACTGGAACAGAATGCTTATCAGGCTATTGAATAAATTTGGTCCAGGTAGTAGACAACTGTTCAGGCTCTTTCCATGTGATTTTGACGCAGCATCAAACACAAAACGGAACTTGTCCGGTTTTCTGGGATTGTAGACAGGAAAGTGAGGAAGGTACCAGGTTTTCTCACTTTTGTTCTTTACCTCATCCAAATTTAACTTTTTTGCATATCCCTTTTCAGCATAACTTGCTATTTTCTGATGATATTGTTGACATAGTTTTGGGTCCTCTTTCATTTTATTTTCAACGTAGTTAAGTCTCTTCAATGCAACGGAACGACTTTCTGGTAACCATGGTTTGTCTTCTTTCCATAACAAACCAGTTTGCCAACAACCATCTTCTGTTTGTGAACAGGTATTTTCCAATATTTTTTCTGCTCTAACTTCTTCATCACTTTTATTGGATTCCTTAATCGGGCAGTCGATAAAATCCCTCTCAAAACTTTCTTTAACTAGTGTGTTAAGCTCCAACATATCTGAATTTGTTTCATGTTTAAACATAACAAAGTCGTTGTCTATACGAGTTTGATAGTTTACATTTCCAGTAGGACCATTTATTGTCCAACCTAGTTTCGACTTCAAAGCAATCGGTGCATTTGTAGGTCCAATGATTACTTTCAGAGGCACTGTCAAATGTACATGTTCATGTCCAATCAGTAGTCGTGGACGACCACGCTGAAACACTTCTTCAGGGATTTCCTGTAAATAAGACCATTTATTTTTCATTTGTTCTGAATTCATAGACTGTATTGGTAACTGCAAGGCTGTCAAAGTCTTCACGTTGTTTAGAGTCAAGTGTTCGCCTGTATCTCCTATAACTGTCAGTGTTACAGTCTGAGATTCTTTTTCTGTATAAACAGATCCATCTGTCCAGGAGAAAGATACAGGTTTAGTAGGTCCATCAATTTCGAGTTCTTCAACCAATCCCTTTTCGATGACAGAAATAGTTGAACCGTCATCAATTAAAGCAAATGTTTCAATTTGCTTGCCATTCTTTCCTACCAATGTTACTGAGAGAACCCTCAACAACACTCTTGCAACAGGTTCTTCTTGAAATCCCATATGTTCACTGTGAATTTCCAATTTAGGTGTCTCTTTATTAGCACCTTCTTCTTTTGAGGTCACGTGTAACAGTTTATTATGGAAATAGGTGCAGCCATTAACTCCACAAGCAAGTTTGTTACGACAAGTCATCGCTCGGTGTTTCGTCTTCAAGCAATTGAAACACAGACTGTTACTCTTGACTGTCTCCCATCTTTTATTTACATCGTACTTTAGGAATTGCTTGCATTCTGTCAATGTATGGTCTTGTTTTTTACAGCAAACACATATACGTTTTTTAAACTTCTTGTCATCTTCATGTTGTACTAATACAAAGTTCTTGGAGTTTGATTCATTTCTTGATGACATGTTTTTAAAGTTTCCACTAGTAGATGTACTGGGAGCACATATAATTGCTGCATCCGCCACAGAAGAGAGCCACGTCGAAAAGCTGTCGAGGCCAATTGGTTGTTTCAATTGAGACTGTGGTGAAGTGACAAACATTCCCCAGTTGAGCTTCATGTTGGTGGACAGTTTTTCTGTGAGCTCTTCCATAAGTTGTGGGTTAAACAAGTAGTGGTCCTGCTTCAAGGATTTTACCGTAACTACTAAATTCCTTACCATGTCACTAAAGGCAACCAAAGTGTCAGGCTTGTAGTCCTTAGTTGGTGGTCGACCTTTCACGCTTGCTATGAGATTTTTAATAATTATATCAGGTCTTCCGAAACGCCGTTCCAACAAATTAACAATTTCTGGTACGTTCTCAGGATATATCAACAGTGCTGATATCATTTCTTTAGCTTTTCCAGTAATACACTTCTGAAGTCTTTGAAGATTCTCCAATTCAGTGTAGTCATTAATTTCAGTAGATCGCCTGTATTCAGCTATCCAAGCGGGCCATTGGTCTAGATCTCCGCTGAAATTAGGTAGAGCTGACAATATTCTCGCCGGCATCTTCTCTCTAAATATCATTCTATCAGGTTGACAATCTCGAGGGAAACACGAAACATCTCGAGGAATTCTCCTTCCTTCGCTGAAAGATACAGTCCTTGCTTCTCGAGGATTTTCACAGTTTTCTTCTCGAGGCTGGAAACTAGACTGTACTTCGTGATGCGGCAAGGATACCTCCTGCTGTACACTCTTCATAATATTTACTGGAACATTAGTACAAGGCTTCAAAACGTTATTTTTATTAATGTCTTCAGCTTGATCCTTTGTCTGCATCCACTTTTCAACAGCTTCCTTTGTGGGCAACGGTCGTGGAAGAGAAGAAATTGAAGTCCTAGATGATCTGCTACTGACTCTTGACGATCCCCTGCTAAGCGATGACAGTCTGTCTTCAAGTAGCTTCTTCTTCATTTCTATTTCCTTCCGCTTGGCTTCTTCCTCCACTCGGGCAAGTCTTTCATCAGCTGCTGCTATTTTTACTGCTGCCTCTGCCTCTGCTTTCTCTGCCGCCGCCTTTGCTTTAGCACATGATACAACAAGGGACGTTTCTTCTTCCTGTATCTTAATCAATTCGTCCATAACCTCTAAAACACTTTCATTCCTACTCCTACTTGAGCTAGTTTTATGAGATCTTACCGACAAAGGAATATGCTTATCACTTACTGCTTCATTATTTTTACCATCAAAATCCTGAGATTTTATAGCAGACTTCTTAACTTTGGACCTTGTAAATGCTCCAGTAGTCGACATTTAGTTGATTCGCAAAAGTTTCGGCACCAATGTTCAAAATGAATAGTTTAAATTATTTATTATATCTGTAAATGAAAAACTGATGTTCCTTGGTGAACATTTAAGCAACACTGAAAATCTTTATTTATTTACAAATTGGAATAGAAGCATATTTTTTGTAATCATCTGTTTAAAGAAAGACAAAGTTCAATATAATTAAACCTTTAACTAACATAACAGCAGCAAAGATACTTTGCACATAAATTTGGAAATTTTCCTACAGTTATAAAATACAATAATACTTTACCGGATAGTTTTTTCAAAATTTCTTACTTTAACCCATCAAGAGGAAAACTGATTATTGAGTTAACAGTTTTTATTGAATTTTTCTATTAGACAGTTTACAACAAACATTCTTGGCTGTTTTCGTAAATACTTTTATGCATTACAATACCAATGTAGATATGGACGCCCAATCTATCCATCAATCTTTTGTAAGTGATAATGGGTGTATTTTAACCCAAATAAGACTTATGGAGTGTAGAATGAAGTATGATATCTTGTGTAGTCTTGTAAGCTATAGACCTAACACATTTTATGATTCAGATTTTTGACACTATGTCACTGTGTGATTTACAGTCATAAAATACTTAGTTTTAATTTTATACAACTTTGCTGCTATTCTGGCTACAAACAGACTAATCTGAACAGAATCCAGTCTCAATTAGGTGGTGAATTAGAAGAGTTCAGCCTAATTACGACTCACCGCGTTGATGCCGCTGCACTGTTGGCCGGCCTGCAGCGCGCAGGTCAGTGCTAGCGGGAGGCGCAGCGAAGGCTCGGTCAGCAGTGACATGACAGTCCACGGCTCGGCTCCCCCCTCGCTCTCCTCCACTTCCAGCTCCCACCTTATCTTAGACAGAGGTTGGCCACGCAGCCTTGACAGTTCTGCCATAACACAACTGTGTTAAATATAACTGTATTTTTTAAAAATTGGAAAAATTTCAAAGCAAATTTTAGTTTACAGCTTTGTTTATAGTCTCAAAAACTGGTATTTAAAATTAATTAAGAAAAATCACTTACTGGCAGTGACAGGTAACCATAAAATCAAAGCTTGGTCCTTGTTTGACAATCAAGACTCTAATGAACATTCTTAAATACATCTAGACCCTATGTTATGTTATACTGATTGATACCTTGTAAAGCAAACTGCTTGGCTCCCCTCACACTATACAGGTACTTGGGACTCTCAGGCAGTACAGGCAGTGTCAAAACCAGAGCCAAGATAGGCACTACGTACAGGCTGAGCAGGAAGTGCCACTGGTTTTGATTACCTGAGACAAACATCAAGGCAATTTATTTTTGGCTAGACAGAAGTAGGCTAGACACCATATCCATTATAAACCAGCATGGCCATTTTTTTGTTCTAAAAGAACATAGTTGAACGAGCCACTCTCAGATTGTACCAAAGAATAAAATTCTATTTCATTCCTTAGATTTTGTTACTGTGTTTTTTATTGTTGTTATGCATCACAAACGATCCTTTAGTTTACAATAAATTGTCCTTTCAGTTTTGTTCCGTTGAACATGATTGAACTTTGGACTTGTCGGCGCAATTCAACTTTGCCCATTATTCTAAAAGTGGTACAACTTTAACATGGGGGTAACACGCCTAGTTGACTAGACTAGAGACTACGGTAGCTTATTCCTGGTTTTAAAATGGAGAAATAAACCAAACGAAAATGTTGATCATTTTTCGACTAATAGAAAACTTGTAGATTTTACTGTATCCCATACGATAACAAAGAGGTATTCCAAAAACATTACACTCACCGAGAATCCAGTCCAGACCCATAAATTGGCCAAAAAAGACACCAAAATTGACACCGACAGAGGTAAAAACACCCATGGCTCCTCGCACACTAACAGGGGCCAGCTCCAATAGATACATAGGCATCACACTCAATGTAAGGCCTGGAACAGAGTTGTCAGCAATGGTCAACATTTCATAATTGATTGGCCTCTCTAGTTAGCAAAATTTAATAATTGTTTATATTTATTGTAAGGCAAAAGGTTGAAATATATTGTTGTATTTGAGTACCTGAAAATGTACGTTTATTCTTTTTCCTCCATGGATTTTTTCCTTTTACATTTTTTTTTAGGTTGGTGGTTTTGTATCCTTGTATTTGTTCGTCTACGTAGACCTCAGTCCTTTGTGAGGAACATATCCAACAAAGCAAGGTATAAACAACTTAAAACACCCAGCTACATACAGTAACCCAATGCAAAATGTTTACCTGACGAAAGGCCGATGATGAATCTGGCAAGCATGATTAGGGAGATGGAGTAGAAAGATTTGCAGTAGAAGAACATAACAGCTGAGAGACATCCTAAGATGGCTGACACAACTAACGCTCCCTTCCTGTCAATCAAAGGTACCAACTGACTTTTAGTTTTAGGAATTATTGTAAACATTTTCTATCTCGAATAGAAAAACCTCTGTTTTTGATCTCACTAACTCTATTTTTTCCATTATCATTGTTACAGTATGTTGTTTCTAGTCACGGTTCTGTTTCTACGAAAGTTTAAAAAAAAATTGGATCAACAATATTAATCCAATTGTTCACACCCCATTCAACCAAATTAATTTGGAGTGAAAAATATGAATCAAGAAAAAACAGCAGGAGCTTGTTTAGCAATAATGACTCTGGCAACAAGTGTACCGAAATTAAAGCCAAATGTTATCTTCCCGGACAGAACATTTTTGCTGTTGTTATTTTATCGAGGAACAACGAGGGATACCCTCTTCCCACCCTGCTCATTGTCAGTTACTACTGTTCTGTCACTGACATTAACTCTGTACAAAAGTAGATAACATATTTTGCTTACTTTCTATTGATTACATTTATAGTAACTTCAATCAAATTCAGGTTCTTTAAATGTATGGTGGAGTGGCGAATCCAGAGGAAGGGCGAAGGGGGCGACCGCCCCCCCTTCGGGCATACATATATATATATATATATAATTTTACTGCATGTAATACAGTGGTGCATACTCATTACGTAAAATAATTTGTCACGCTAACTTTGGACAAAGAAATGGTATAAAACTGCCATTTTGGAGACTTTATTTACAGCAATTTTTTGGGGGGGGGGCACCGGTTCGCCCCTCCATCTTGTGACTGTTCTACATCTGCCACTGGTATGGTGATACTTTTCTGCTTGATTCCCAAGGTATACTAACTTGACTATCCTAATTTATGCAAATCGTAATCGGCCCAATCTCCAATTAATTGTGGATGGTCGGAATGTAATTCTACTGTAAACGTAACACATATTCACCTGCCAATGGAGTCGGCGCACCACGAGCCTGCCAACGATCCAAGCATACCTCCCACCAGGAACACACTGACTATCACAGACCATACCATGTCCAGCTGGACGTTGTCTAGATGGTAATCTGCCAATGAATGGTTACACCACTGCTGTATCACCTGAGAATCAAAACCACCCAAATCAACTTACATTTTATTTAAATCATTATTACCTTTACTTTAAGACAGCAACACACACCTAGGTAAGTATTTTAAGCTGAATATGAATGCAAATATGATATAATGTTGTAGGGAAGAAATGAAGGAGGGTTACAAAGACAACTGGATAAATGGGCAGAGGTTATGAGAGAGAGGGAACTAAGAATAAGTACGGAAAAGAAGTGATGGTGATCGGAAGAGATAGGGTGTTGGAACAATCTTTAAAAGCAGGAGGAAACCCACTTAAGTTGGTTGAAAAATTTACATATTTAGGCACGGTTCTTTTGAACGATGGAAGGTTGGCGCAAGAGGTAACTCAATTAATGTTTTCAACTTACTGGCGCTGGCGTGTTGATGACACCAATGTTGTATCCAAAAGGAACCGCAGAACCGACGGTAGTTGAGACAGCAGCCACCAACAACAACGGTGTCCAGCCATCATCCACCTACAAAATAATTTATAGGACAGTGTAAAATAAACTATTCAGCATATAAAGTAGCATTTCACTTGTTTCGGATTGTTTTACGAGAGAGCGTAATGTTTGTAAACCTTAACAATTTGACCCATCTTGCCCCTATAACAGGATTAAGTTTAACTATCAACATAACAGGGAACACAACTGTATGAATCGCTGATTGAACTTATATAGTGATAAGAATTGTTAGGAAATGCAGAAGAGGTGATCATGGCAAAATCTTAAACATTTTCTACGGTCTTGAAGACATCATCGTCGTCTCACTTGGTCACATAAAATCATCATCGTCCTCCGAAAACACGGCGAAAGGGTGAATTTTTCACGATGGTAAAAGCTTATCTCAATTCCGTCTATTTTCTATAAAATACCCTGAATTTTGGTAAAATTACAATCAAAATGTTTGACTATCCCAATTGAATCAGATGAATTCTACTGCAGTGCAAATCGACTTCTGATTCTACTGTACAATTTGAAGCCCCCTGTATTTATGACTGTTTTATGTTTGTGCGTTTAGAGTGTGATGCTGATGTCAAATAAATCCTTCTTTTATTTTTAAGTAAATTTTACTAAATGTGCTTTATTTATTTATGTTTGCCAGGAGACGAGGGTTCCTTAATCAGATCATTTTTTGTTTAAACAACAAAACACAACATAATTTGGATGTAAATAACCTTAAAATTGTCTTCAGCTGTTTCATAATAATGATGAATCTACTAGAACAATATTTAATCTATGGTTTGACCTAAAATTATGTCAAGACTAGTGTATATTATATATTTCTTTACAACTGATACTTACTTGTGTATTGGTCCTCAACGAAACTTTCTCTGGGGAAAGAGTGGATGGGGAGTCCGAATCCACCAAATGACTAGCTTCTGTTTTTGGCGAGTCCATCTCACTGCAAGGAACAATATTAATTTGTTTTCACACCCAAGATTAATACAATGACTATAATAAAGGTCACACACATTTTGTTGCACTCAAACACAAATTATAAATAGGACCAATGCTCGATTTGCAGGAATGCGGTGGAACGGAGTTCCGGTACCTCTCTTTTGGAAAGATAAAAATATTGGCATAAATAGGTACATAAATCACACTAATAACATTAAATAGGTAACAGTTCCGGTACCTCATTTTTTCAATCAGCACTGAATAGGCCTAAGATAAAATATATTGAAGCATTATTACTCTAAAGTTGATTTTGATGTAGCTTACGGTAAAAAATAAATTATCGTAAAGAGCATTTAAAATTAACTAAACAGTGATTCGAGGGACAGATTAATCAGTTGACCTACCTAGTTACATTATGTTAGTAGGTGGCTGAAATGGTAGCGCAACGCGCAACAGACTGAGAAACCAAGGCTTACATCCTGGTTCCTCTACTTAAAAATTATGAGTACAGTCCATTCTTACACTTTACCGGCAGCCCTTTATACGTTCCACCGACAGGTTTTTGAGGCTCACATGGACGAGCAAATTCACAATTATTAAAAGAAGCCACTAACCTCTTAAAGAGAAAAACCATTGAATTTATGTGTCCAGCCAAACCAAACAAACTTCACACACTGAACTGAATAGTGGAATGTTTCAACCTGTGGATTCTGTACTAATTTTCAATTCTGTACGACTCCTTCTAGGTAGTAAACTAAAGTGTTATGTTGAAAAAGTGTATAATGTAAATAAAAATAATATCAATTTATAAACTAAACAGTTTTTATTTAAATTACTAAAAACCTGATATACAAATTTTACTGAATGGTAAATCTATTTGGGATGTAATATCTGATGTAATATTAAATATTTAATGATAATAAAGTAAACTAAAATACTGACAAAACGCATTGAATTACTTACAGTGCATTTTCGAGGGACATAACTATTTTTATCTTCAAGCATGAAACTCGATTGGAGACAAACCGCTTATGTCACAGTCATGATTCTACTGTATTGTCTTTGAGTACAAAGCTGAATTAATTATCACATGAGAAACAAGTAGGAAGCTTACTTTCACCCTACAAATTTGTCAAAATGTTTTGTAGTGTGTAGTGTGAAATGAATATAAGTATGTAATTATAGTGTTGTACAGTAACTGTTGTAGCTTTTATTTGTTTTGTATGTTAGTGCACTTGTTGGAGTGTGTTACTCTTATTAAATTGTCATGAAATTTACTTATTGTTCTTGTATACAACAGACTGTAAATAAATGATTGTTAAAAAATATGAAATCACAATTTTGATTCCTTATTGTGTATATCAACGATGAAACCTAAGATAAAACTGAAATTCATTTGACAAGCATTTTTCAAATAGACATATGTACTAGTGGGTTATTTTGAAATTAAAATACCTACTAGAAACATTTTTATTTATCTACCTTACAAATATTGCATATTCTAGCAAACAATATCAAAATATTTAATGACTAATTAATAAAATAATTGGTTGATTGAGCAAAGATAATCAATTATGTCACCTATATTAACTTTTCACTGTTATTTAACAATAAAATTATTTTCAGAGACATAATAAAAGATTCAAAAAATTCTTACAAAAAACATTATATTATTACAAAATCGGTTTGATTTAACTTGACATTTTATATTGACAAATTTCAGCTTAACTTATTCAAACCACATATGCTTACCAAATACCAAGTTTGTCAAGCTCCATAACGCTTAACTCGAGAATGAGGTCTAAAATGACACTTGTTTTGATCAATCCTGATCAGTTAGATAAATTGATTGAGATAAAAATTTGATCAATCTCGACTAGTCAGAGATGAGATTGGATTCCAGACTTACAACTGTCAAATAAAATCCCTCTCCCTCTTATTATTTGCAAAAATATGTGTTTTACAAGGGATATTTTGGAAATCTATATTAATAAAAGAATTTGTTGGAATTTTGTTTGCAAAAAATCGACCCCCAAATATTTATTTTTATAGGCATATTGGGTATCAATTTAAAGCTCTTATCCTCTGGATGTGCTTTTTGCGGGTTTGGATGATATCTTGTGAAAGCCCTTCATCCTACAGGCTTTTAAATTTTCTGAGTCTGTGCTGAATTCAGTTGTCAATCATCTGAACCGTTTCAAGTTTACATTTGTTTAAATCAAAACAGATGGCCATAACTCAATTGTTCTTACATCCATACGAAAATGGGGTTATCTGTAGTTGGTGATGTTTCAGTGAATTTAAGCTTCAGTATCAAATAGTCAATGATTCAAGTTAAATATTGTAATGCAATTTGTATAAAATATAAAGAAAAAAATGACTTACGTTGGATTTTGTGTTGTGATAGGATTTTGTGTTTTCATAGTATGTTTTATTGATGTTATAGGTCATTTAGGTAAAATATTGTAATGTTTTTTGTTTTTCATAGTATGTTTTATTAGCATTTGTAATTTTACTAAGATGACTCAAAGAGATCGTGCACACAATGAAAATAATAGGGTACGCAATGCAAATAATAGAAATATGAGAAATAATCGTTATCACCCTTATCAACTATATATCAAAATATCACAGATTTTGAATTCACAAAAAGACGCAGGCTGCTAGTTTGTTATAATTTTCTAAATATTAATGTTAATGTTAATTTTAAATCTTTAAACCTTGAATAATTTTTAGACATTAGATTAGGTTGAATAATTACATAAGTAGGCCTACCCATAAGAAGTTACATAAGAAGTTGCAGAATCTTGTAATATTAAAGGACAATATTGAAGATAAAAAAAAAACTGTTTACCTACGATTCTATAGATGAATCTTTTTATGACATGAGCACGAGTTTTTTTCCTAATCAAGATGATTTTTCCAGGAGTTTGTTTTTGTAGGAATGGAATTGAACTAGGTGTCTTACTAGCTTAGAGGAACAAGTATTTTGGACTTGATGAGCAAGGACAGCCCGGATGTCAAGCCTGTTCAGAAATTACTATCGTCGCACAGGGTCTTCTACAACCATGAGCATTTGTAGGTCATCAGGGAAGGATGCAAGGTTGGATTTTCCAAGACACCAGCAACCAGTGCTAAACACCACTTAAGTGTGCCATTGATGTTTCCTCTGTACCGTACATCTTACTTTTCTGTGGCAAGGAACAGATCCAGTCATATCCACTAAAAGTTTTTGGGGCTTTGACTGTTTTCCTTTAATGTTTGATGTTCTTTCACAAAATAACTCTGGCGTAAAAAAAAACAGACAAAAAATAATATTTCATACACTGTATTGAAAGTACAGATTGCAACTGAGAAGATGCTGTATACAATAGGCACCAGGCAGGCTCTTAATTGTACAATCACCACCATTAGGCTACTTAAAATTTCAGCAACTATTCACTAATAATTCACATAAATGAATGAATGAATTATTTAATAAATAAATTAGGCCTATCAAATTAATGATATGATAACAATGAATAATCATAACAACCTTTTAACCAAGGAATGTATTAGTAGAATAGACGGTACTTTTGTATTATACGGGGGCCACCAAAATACAGTGTGCTACAGCGGTTAGGTTAGGTGGGGTTATCATTATTGTTTTATGACTCATCTGGTACCGTTCGATTCATAACAAAACAAGGAAAGGCCTACAAATATATGACAACCTAACAGCCACAGTGCGCTGTAAAATAAGTTAAGTAACCTCCGAGCCGTATAATATGAAAGTACCGAATTATGCTTTTGTTCTTTTTTAAAAAGATTGGCAGCCTCGTTTAGATTTCCCAGTCCACGTTTGCCTGACCAGATGAGTCTGGCCTATGCGTGGAACGTATAAAGCAAAGCGACAGATGAGCCAGAAGGCCTACAGTACCAGAATAAACTACCAGTAGGCTATACTGATAAAAATAGGCCTATTAGAGGTAGGGTAACACCTGTTCGCAAACACATAAATCAAGAATTAATATTTGAAACAAGTGGTGGACAAGGGTGGATTCTTTGCGGGTTGCACCTATTAGGCAATTGTTTACTTTTAACTTATCTAAGGTCAGGCCTATGTGTGCACCACTAAAAGATTGTTCTATAAAGAATTTCAATATTTTGTGATCGTAAAGTGGGAAACATGATAAAAACTTATAAGTATATTTGAATAAAAGAATATTCCCTAGAATCCAAAGGGCCAACAAGTCCTTGCAAACGTTTGAAAGACAAAAACTCACTTAAGTTACAACATAATAATTCAATAAACATAATAACTTAACAACTATAATATAATGCCTATGCTAAACTTGGTAACTGATGTACTATTAAACCATTAAACCGGTAAATTGTGAGTTATCTATCTGTGACTGTGACTAGAATTACAGTAGAACATTAAACACTCTAACTCACCTTTTAGGTAAAAAGTACTACGTAACGTAATAAATGCCTTATTATTATCAACTATCAATTACCATAACATTTTGTTATAAATGTCATATAATTATTCAAATAGTAGGTAAGTTGTTGCACTAATATTTGAAAAACACAACATCATAAAAAATTGAAAAGTTTACATTAATTCGATCTAACCTAGAATATTGTTTACATTTATTTACATTATCTTCTCAACTCAAGTCATTCCGATCCCGACCCCGGTCCACGACACTTGGAGGATTTAACACTTTTTTAAATCCACCAAAACTGGATTCGTGAATACAGCATGCAGCTTCAGAGGCTTGACTTGACTTACTCGATTCCTGCCATTGGTTCTGAGACATAAATATAATCACAACATCTTGAAAATTCAAAAAAATTTTATTCTGTGCTAAATTATATATATATATATATATATACTAGCTGACCCGGCGAACTTCGTATCGCCTAAGTTATAGGTTTCCCCTAAGACAGACCGATGGAAAGAAAGTACCGTTACGTTTAATTTTCAAGATGATCTCGTTCGCATCGCTCAATCACGTCCTGGTTGAAGTTCGTTCGCTACGCTCACTCACCTTTGGGTTGGAGCTCGTTCGCTGCGCTCACTTGCCTTCAGGTTAGCTCGTTCGCTACGCTAACTCGCCTCCAGGTTGAAGTTCGTTCGCTACGCTCACTCACCTTTTGGTTGCAAATTAGCTGTTGTCATAAATGTAAAAGAAATAATAGTGCTGCACCCTGTTGGTAATCCTTGTAACTTTAATGCTATTGAACATCATAGAACAGAACCAACTTGTTTAATTGAAACAGCTGTTAAGATTCATTAATTCCATTTCTCATAAGGTTAACATGGGAAACTCCAGAGCCACTGGGGCGGAGCCCTTTTAAGAATTTCGAAATGGGAAATAGTTTACGTCCGATTCGCATACCTACAGAATTTACACACCAAATTTCATAACGATCGGTGAAGTCGTTCCGGAGGAGTTTGCAGACAAACACTGTGACACGAGAATTTTATATATTAGATATATATATATATACTATCACATAAAACAGGGTTTCGGTTATATATTTATTTTTTGTTGTTTGTCCTGGGGCCCATTTCATAATAAAGTACAAACTAATATTATTTATTCGTAAATCAGCTGATCGCCCAATGCAAATCTAATGGAAATCACAAGTTACAAGTTACAAACTAATATTATTATACAAGTAACTTGTAACTTGTGATTTGCATTAGATTTGCATTGGGCGATCAGCTGATTTACTAATAAATAATATTAGTTTGTACTTTATTATGAAATTGGCCCCTGGAATTCAAAATAAGGGTTGTAGACTTGAGAAATAGTTCCGTATGTTCTTTGTAATTTGAAGTGGTTTCCGCGCCTAAAAAATCCTTTAAGGGTGTTTCTTGTTTATTAAGATCGTAGGAATGTTTTAAAAAGTTTAAAAGAAAAGTCCAGAAAGTTCAGAAATAGCCTACCGAAACTGTAAACAAAAAATGACAGGTTAAATCGTAGTTATAATTGTCAATCAGCTGCTCATAGTATTATTATCTTTAAGTGTTGCCAACCTATTTCCAAGCGTACACGGATTACGTCGTGCATAATAGAACCACGCTGTTTTGTGTTGTTTCGTTGGAATCCTGATGTGCGCCAAAGTATAAACCGTACGACAAAGTATAAATATGCAGCAATTAGCAGCTTTCTGTACTATAAACAGTACATGAAACCAGCTTTGTCGGTTGACTGTAGGAAAAATTCTTTAATTCCCTTACGTAAATACTCATAAGGTAATCATGGGAAACTTTTGAGCCACTGGGGCAGAGCCCGAAAGGATTTTTGGGAGAAGAATTTGCTTATATGTAAATCGGTAATGTGAGCTATCATCATACCAAATATCAAACCAATACGACCATAGCAGTTAATGCGTGATTGAACATCAAACAAAGAAACAAACACACAAACTTTCAAATTTATAATAAGATCAGATAATATTAGTATGATTATCAGTGGTGATGTCTATTGAATATATATGCTTGGTGAAAAAAACATTTTTATTTCATCTGTCCACTCCTTGTCCTTCTCCTTATTGTTGTGCAACTCAAAACTGCCATGACCGTTAGAAATTAACTTTAACATTAACATAGTGTTTTATTTTCATACTCAACAGATATATTGAAAAATACAATCCATATAATTTTACAACAGTTCTTTCGGATTCTACAGTAAAATAAAACTAATACGTACTATTGAATGTATACGCTTACATTTCTTTGAGAAATTGCATTTCTATTGTTGGCATTAGTTTTAGTTTATAAACCAGCTGAGAAAAAAGAACAGTGATGCCGATGGAGAGCACAAGTTCACATGTACAGAAACCTTATACTGACGTCATAAATAACGAATGTATATATCGATTGTACCGGGTGGTTACGGGTTTTTCTTCGGAATGTAAGTATCGGTTGCACCGAATAAGTAAAGGGGTTTTTTTTGTAACACTTTATTTGACGAATTGAATACTCTCGGTAGTTTATCCATTATAAATCAAATAGTAGAAATACAATAATATTCGTTACAGGCTGGGAAAAAAATAATTACTGATAGGCTACTTTGGATTGAACATCCAAGATGTTTGCAATTGTTTTCGTATTTACCTGACTTATAAAATAAAAACTTGAGTTCACAGGACGTTGAATACTAAGAATTTATTTCATAGCATCCACAATAATACAATAACTGTAATTAAAGTAGACGAATTACAGGAATTATTATCGATTCTAGAAGAGAGTGAAATAATAATTGTAACTTTGACATGTTAACGTTATGTTAATGTTTGGGAATGATTTACTAACAGATATTGCCCATCAGTGTAAGGTGACAATTTAAGAAGCCCAAGAGGACTGTTTTAGATATATTATTTTATGGAATTTACAGTCACGTAAAATAGGCCCTACAGTTTAACCATTGACTAAGTACTGTGAGTACATCAATGGTTTAGGTTTAGAGAAAAAAGTAGAGCTGTTTCTCATTTTCCCCTTTAGTACATCTTAATAAAACACCATAAGTTTTACCCAATTATATTATTCTGGCTCCATTTAATTCACAATAACGTTATGCTTTTACTAAGCCTTATCTTGTTATTTATAAATGAAAGTACTGGGACATAATATAAATAAGGAAACATTAAGTAGTAGTAATCCGATTAATTTGTAGGATAGTTTATTACTTTTTGATCGTACCACATTCTATATTATTCAACTCGAGCCTACGCACAGGCCACTAGTGCCCATATAGTCTCGTTTCCCATCAAATTTATTTTTACGTTAAGGAACCATTTTAATTTTTTTTATTAATTATGTTACATGAATTCAATGTAATAAATCAAATTTTTCTCATTTTAGTTATATACCATAAGTCCTTTCATATGTAACATTACTCAATTACTTTTATTTATATATATATTATGCTTCATATATAATTGCTTTCTTGCATTATTTGTTATTTTTGTATTTTGGTGGAAATAAACCTTGATTATATTAGAGTGCATAAATTGATCAGTTCAATTTAAAAATACTTGGAGCACAAATAATTACAAACTTGGATGTGGTAGAAATTTCATGTTCTCTTAAAACATCTAAAAATTCATCATAGCTTTTAGCCCACTTGTACTTTTCTGGCTCCATTTAAAAAGTAGTAGGTTTATTGAAAATAATCAGAACGAGTCTATTAACATGGTCACCGGGCACAGCAAAGTGAATAAGTGACGATGTAAAGCCGTGTCCCTTCGTCCTTCGATAATCGATTGCATAAACCATCACGATTCCGATAGCTGAAAAGTAGTCGATAGTCATGTGACGTCATTATAAGGTTTCTGTACATGTGAAGAAGTGGCCTCCGATGCCGATGCAATCTCCATTCTTCACTCCCACTCCCACCACTGTTTTTAGTGTTTTTAGAAGAAGATTGCTGACGACAATTTGAGTCGAATAACGATAAAATGGATTGAGGTTATTTGATTAGTTCTGTGTAAACATAAGTGGATATTATGATTTGACCAAGATATATTGGTTTGTTCTTAAGTTTTTTTACGTTAGTTTGATAGAATCCGTGATTATGTATTGTCTACAATGGCTCATTCCAGTGCTACTCATACCAAAGCCAGTCAACCCAGCACTTCTTCAAACCCATGTTGTGTTTATGGTTTTATATTTGACAGGATTCTTCTTGGAAAGGAAACCTTGCACAATTTGCAGTTTAGTGTTTTTAGCAGCAGTGTTTTTAATATGCTACAGTGGTGTGGGAAATTGTCTGTTTTGGAGTTCCAACTGCGACACAGTTCGATGTGAAAATGGTTGAGTCATCACTGTGTAGTGTGTAGGCCTACACAAGATATCACCTCTCATAACAAAATTAACAGTAAACTCATTCACATTTCATATTTATAAAACTGTTAAATTTATTAAAATGTGGCAAATAAGTTATTACTAGCCTATGTATTTTTCTCCGTGTTAAATAATAAATTAGCCTAGGCTAATGTCATGATTTTGATTTGTTTCATTAGTCAAGAACACAAAATGTAGTTGGTCAGTAATTTATTCCCCCAATTGAATAGTCTTGGGTCCAAATGATTGATGTTTTTGGTTTAGACTGTCTTTATTTTTGTTTAGTCTGCCAATTGTTTTTTGTTATCATACCTATGGAACATCAAACTAGGTACTCCTCTATATTCTGATATGGGTAAATTTCCATTTCTTTCAACCAACAATATTATTATGCATTTTATCAAGTATAGTAGTGTAATAGTGTTTCAAAGAAATGGTGCGTAGGCCTCCAGTTCTGCAGAAAACCTGCAATAAGTTATATTATACGATGAATAAGTCAACATCCATCATTTTGTTAAAATGTTTAACCTTACAATTTTAAAATTAACAAAAAAACACCATCAAATAGATGGATATACAGTACTTGATTGCATTATTACTAGCCATATGCTTGATTTGGTCGCCTCGCTTGAACCTACTTCCGCGAACTTGATTGAGAACTTACTCATGCCATGCCCCTGTTTAACGTTTTAATGTAACACTAACCCCAGTAAGTAGAATGTTCAAGAAGTCAAAGCTATTACCTAACTTATAGAAAATTTGCTTTTAACTTCGTTGTGTTAAAAGGAATGGCTTAGCGAACGGTCAAACATTTTAAGCTTCTCGTAGCCTTCTCAAGTAACTTAATCTACCAACCACCAGTCTACCTATCCAGGCACCAGTCTTCCACATTCAGTGTGGGGGTCTAGGCTACCTACATTAAGTTAGTTACTCAATACAAATGTAAGTTAGTTACTTACATTTGAATTTGGAAGTTAATACTTTTTTTAAATGGCCCTCTTTAAATATTATGAGTGTTATGGTTAGCCATGCTTTAGTCTACTCCATTTCATCCATTTCATGTTTGCTCTTTTTAAAAAAAGATTGGAATATTGTTTAAATTTCCATCCTTTAATCTAGAAAGTAAATTTGGATGTGATATTTTTTAAGATGTGATAAGCATAAAACTGTAAATAATCATACGTAGGGTAGACCTAGTAAATAAATACTTAGGACTGAAGTTTTGTAATTTAGATTTAAAACATCAGTAATAAAATAATATTAAGCTCCTGTGTATTCAGCCCAGTCAAAAAACAATAACGTTTGATTTTTAGTTGAATTCATAGTACTAGTTAAATGTTAGTCACCACACATTGACACATTGGCTTTTTTTTAAATAAACACTTATGATGGCTATTTCTATTAATTTTTTTTTTCTGAAGGAATTTTCAAAAGATTTAAAAATTTGCTCTATCTGTGTAGGCTAATTTGGTTATCTGGCTACGACATATTCTTGCCACTCTGAAGTTATGTTTGTACAAAGTCGAAATACAAGTTTTGACCATTACATTCACTGATAAGTTAGGCCTAACTCACTAATTCATATAGGCCTAGGCTAATTAAAGTTTCTTCATGGAGTATTAATAGATTTACTATTGGTACCTAATTGATTTTTAGACCAAAAAGGGTTAGCATTACCCTAAGTTAGGTACCGGTATGTCGATTTGAACTTTTGGTGAATTATTTTCATTATGATTTTTTATGACTTTATTTTCCGATTTTTCTAGTATAGCCTAGCCTACGGCTTGGTTAAGGTATGCTTTGATTAGGAATATTAAAACTAATTTTTATAAAGATAAAGGAATTATGATCTTTAATGCGATTTATATTGAATTGAAGCGATTCTAACCTTTCGAACATAAACTGACGACCTTTGGTGATATTATTATCTCTGTTGTGCCTTGTATTTGAATACTGGCTACATCTGACAAGTTCAAGCTGAATTTATCAGAGACATAGAATCATTTCTCCATAAATCATGAAATAACCAAAAAGCAAGTTAGACTGTAAGGAATATATTCTTATAAAGAAGCACATCTACAATATGAAGCTACTTTCATTAAGTTTTAGACCTAATTAAAATATGTCATAGCTAGATATTCATTTGAATTGGGTGCTTCCATTTACAAAATTAGTAAAAATGTACTAAAAACTTATATTGTGTATGAAGAAAAAAGAATGTTAACAAAACCAATTTACCATTTGTATTGTAATTATACCTACCTATTTTACAAATTACATTTTTGTCACTCTACGGTAAACTTACTCATTTTTATATCCTGAACATGAACCATGTGAGATTACATTTCACATATAGGCCCTAAAATGGTTCCTTGTACTGTACTGTAAATATGTAGAAATGCTGTTTTCTATTTATTTTCAATGTTTTATAGGACACTGTATAAATGCAATCAAACCAATATTTGTTACCCTTTTTAATATTGTTTGTGGAATATTCGATTGTTAATAAAATATTTGCATCAAAGTTTGTTGTAATTGTTTTATTTCCAACAATGTTAAAAGCACGTTAGAAATGTTTGGATTGGCAAATATTTTATTTTGTGGAAAATATAAAAATTATTCTGAGCTGCTTAAAGGGGATAAGGCATATTTTAATACAAATCAATAATAAACACATAGCCTAAAATAGATAATGTTTAAATTTGAGAAAATCTTCAAGTAGTGTAAGCTGAATGAAATAACTTCTATGATGTACTACTAGAGGTTATCATATTAAAAGTAGTACAGTAATTTACTTATCCAATGCTGATTTTAAATGCAATTATTCTTCTCTCTTTAGTATCCAACTTAAAAACTACAATCAGCTGATTAAATATATTAAAACAAACTAACAAAAAAGTAATGTCAAAAATTTTAACAACAAATAAACAAGTTGTTGAAATAGGGTGAATTGTGTTAAGTGATAATGTTCTCACTTCAGAAGTTGAATTTCATGCTAAGGTGAGAATTTGTATTCAAATAATTCTGAGGAAACTTAGGAAACCTATTTTTAAATTGACCTGGGTCAGGTGAATCATTGTCCTAAAATTGTGATTTCTGCTAACTCATATTTTTTGAGTACCAAAGGTCAATATAAACCTTTACTTATCTATGTAGCTTACACACTGTACTTGACATGAGCTGCTACCTGAGAGTAAGATAGAACTTCAGTACTCTAGTTTTTGGTTTACTAGTATTAATAGATTATTCCTCTTCCCTACCAGGGTACTGCATCCTGGATTGGATGCTGGCATAGACAAATAGAATTAGACCGACAGCAGTGCTGCGGAACGGTTGGCATAAGTTCTTGCGTCCACCGCTAGGAGTGCCGTGTAGTTATGTAGTGTGTGCAACTTAACTACACAGCGCTCCTATCGGTGGACGTCAGAATTTATGCTAACCGCAGCACTGCTGGTGGTCTGTATTTAATTCTATTTGTCTATGATTGAGGGTTCGAATCCTGTAGGTCAGGTCTGGTGTTTAAATGTGACGAGTTCACTTGTGAAAAAGCCTGGTGGTAGAGGCCCAACTAACAAAACACTTTTTTCCTTAGCAAATTCATTTGAAATAAATGACAATAGAGATTTAAATAAAATTAAAAGTTTTTAAAACCAGAAGTGTGTTTAGAAACAGATTTATGTTTGTAACATAATGCTGTTGTAATATGTACTTACCTAATTTTTTTGCTTCTTGTAATACAGGATTTCTAAATGTGTTGCTCAAGATTTTTCAAGTTTATTAGTCAAGGGTAAATCTTACTCAAAGCCACTTGTACGTCCCAAAAATGTTTTCATGCAAGAAATTACTCGCAGGTAAGTAAAACTAAACTTTTTTAAACTGTCAACGATATAACCCCTTTTCAGTAAAATGACCCTTTAAAAGTGTAAGTGTAAAATTAATAATTTAAAACTGCATCTGTTATTTTCTTCGGTTTCAGTAGATACAATAATGTCAATAATTTTCCCTTTAGAGAAGTAGGTTATATTATTGCCGTTGTTTTTGTGACCTAAATGATTGTAGTTTTTAGTTTTTTAAGATATTCTTATCCAGAACTGTTCGATAACCTTAATTGGTTGTGTGGGTTCAACTTGTATTGTGATATCCTTCTCTTCTGTAAGCAAAATTAACTGTCTACATAAGAGTTAAATATCATCCATACCAAGATAACTTGTCTTTGAACTGCTGACAAATATTAAAAAATTAGCTTAAAGTATCTGCTGGTGGAATATGGTGTAAAATTGTACACTGAATGATTGGAAATCACTGACCCGACCACAGAGCATGTGTTTATATTATATTTTATCACATTACATAAGTTCAACACAATGATAAGAATGATAGGCGTAGTCATTATTGAAAACTACAAAAATCTCTATAAAATTGTATTTACCATAGTGAAGCATTGTATTCTAATAAATATAATTTAGTATAATTTTAAAAGAACCTGTACAAAGAGAATGTGACACAACCAAATAACCGAATAAATATTGACAATTTTTTTTCTCTGAATGGATTTTTCACAGTTATAAACAATTTTTCAGGATTTGCATCTAGCGGGGAGTTGTAATAATAACAGTTAAATAAATACAAGTTCAAACGGGTTGATGATGAAAGATTAAGTACAGTAAGAATTGTTGTGAGGTATCTCTTTATCCCCTCAGATCTTCGTTGGTCTAATTCTATCAGGGACAATATATTTACCAATGTTTTTGTAAAGTGTAAAGTTTTGTGTTATAGTAGACTCTTTCCTATTTAAGCTTGCTTTACTCACAAAAATTATAATCTGTTGAAAGTGTTACATAATTATTTGTTTGATATGTAATAAAGGTATGCCGACCCTGTTTGTAAGTTTCCGACCTTCCCGCTCCAAATGGATCCCAGCTGTCGAGTCGCAATCATCACTGGAGGGGAGTCCGGCATTGGTCTAGCGGCTGCTAAGGACTTGCTAAAAAATGGAGCTCAGGTAATGTTTAGTGTGTAGGTAGATTACCGTTACAGCTCGTGACACGTAAGCTGGCACTTGGGCCTAGATTCGGCTGTTGTAGGCGGGGGGTGGGTGGAGGTAAGGAAAAAACCGGACTGCACACATTTCCGCTGACTCAGGGGAATGACTCTCCGTGTTTCATGTACTTGAGCGTCTTCACTTGGGTCGCGAGGACTGTTGACGTAACCTGCATGACGGCTTAAAATGTTTTGAACTAGACTAGTAGCGATTGGTCAAGTGCCAGCTTAAGTGTCACAAGCTGTAATGTAGTTATTTTCTATTTCACTGTTAGTATTCTGCTTGGGATAACCGCATAGAATAATGAGCATAAACAAATTGACTCGTACCCTGTTCAGGGTGTTACAACCATGGATATATTTGAGTTTAACATTTTGCTCTTATTACGTCAACTATGAATAAAATGAATGAACGAATCAAAAGAGTTTCATTCTCACTATCAAAAGTTATATTTTAATTTAACTTTAACCGTCTGTCTAGATAGATATTAGTGACCTCCATAATCACCCAATTTGACGCCATTTCTCCCTTTGAGGGATATTAAATAATTGCTGAATTGCCTGAATTGAGAAACTGGATTCATACAGCTGTTGTACCGTTTGAATGCATCGGTAGTTTGTAACTATTGACAGAACCAGCTGTTTTTGATCGTTATGGGCATGACTAGAGAAACGGCTGGCCTTATTCAGTACAAAATCTACAAAAGGCATCTTACTCCATTCATAAAAAACGATGATGGTGTGGATGAATACAAACAAACAAATTTTACACTCACTTTCACCCATATTCAGATTACAATACGCCAAATTGTCTTCCTGTCTCAATATAATGTTTATATCAGTGGTTATAGTGCTCGCCCAGAAGTTCAGAATCTGATGGTAGCTGGTCCGATCATGAGAAAGTCTCTTTTGATGTTTCAAAACTGGACTTGTTATTCTTGATCATTGGGTTTGAGTAAACAGTTCTTTAGTCAATAAGAAAACTACACAATTCAGCTCACTTCATTCTACACTCATCTTGAATCCTTTTTCAGGTTAAAATATGCACCTATGTGTGTCACTGTCTCAAAGTAAAAATAACAATACATAACTATGATGGTGGTGTTGATAGAAGTTGGTGAGGAAAAGTCAGCCGATGATGATGATTTGATTACCATGATGATAATGATATGTGCAGGTGGTAGTGTTGGCTGGAGTCGGAGATGGAGAGCCTGTCGTCAAACAGCTCAATGAAGAACACGGTGCGGATCGAGTCTGCTTTATGCACATGGACGTCAATGATCCCCGTGACTTTGAAGGTAGCCAAGACTAGACAACAGATGTTTGAAAGGTTTTCCCATTGCCACAGCCCACTTCAATCTTACTTTGTCCACCAAACACAATACACCCTCCAGGGTGCCGGATGTACCAAGGTGTACAAGATATAGACAGAAAAACATTAAACAAAAGTAATAAGCTCGTAGTATGTTAATGGTATAAGCATTTGAATTTTTTTAAATACTCTCTTTAATTTTTTATGTGGAACTAATAATGAAAAACTCATATGCACAATCTATGACCTTTAGCCAGAATTATAAATTCCATCATCAATATGCCCTCATTTTAACCCATTCCCCCTCCAATAACAATCAAGTAAAGTCTGTTGATTCCATGTGTTCCACCCACTAAATTTTGCAGTTCTGGGTTGGACAGAAGCAATTCTTCCCTAGAAGAGGATTCTATGGTGAAACGAGTAATAAAACACTTTGTTTAATGTTTACAATCATAACTCTGTTCACAGAACTTTTCTACAGAGTAGACTTAGTCTTTGGTGGAGTAGACATTGTGTTCAACAATGCTGGCATAATGAGAGATGACGTTTGGGAGTACGCAATCGACGTTAACTTGGTGAGAAAATACAAAATGTTTTTTTGTACCCTACCCAGTAGATTTTCGTGAAGAGCTGATTAAACTTTCATGAATTACCATTGACATTTCTTACTGAAGCTAATAGACATGTCATAACGGAGTTTTTTGCTCAAAGAGAACATGGCAAGTTGGCAACTGACCATTCAGATTGGTTTAATGGAAACATTTGTTGATAAAAAAGGAAAATCACAACACAATACGATGGGGGCTCAACAAAACTAATCTATTTTAAATCTAAAACTTATGACTCATCTTTGACGTTTGGTACGTAATTAGTTATCAAGTCCATCTCACTCCCACTCCCCGAACTTAATTCTGTTCACAGTCCAAATGAAATTTCATTCATTTTGATAACTAAACAGTTAAGTGTGTGTTTATTTTGCTGTCTTAAATAATCGATTGATTGGTTGTCGTAGTTTAGTTGAGCCTAGAGGACTGTCTAGGTCTAGAACATCAACAATGTACGTCACCAAGACATCACCGCCAAACAGGAAACCACACAGTTTGAGTTAATTCTTAATAATTTAATTTCACTTACATTAATAATATCAGCTC